CCCACTAAATGTTGAATTAAAAATCGACATCAGAGCACTCGCACACTTCCATAATGTAAGCTAAGCCCTCCGTCTCCTTCTTTCTCCCTCTTCCAATGGCACCACCAGTAGGCCAGTACAATACATGTCTCATCTCAGTGTTGTATAACGGTCTCGCCTTTCCCTCGAGTGTTGAGAGTCGGCCTCCCCTGGTAACTCCTGGTGGAACCATTCTCCTCAGACTGTAATTATCTCTGTGCCTCCCTACTGTTCACCTGAAGAAAGGCCCTCACAACATCTAATCTAGGCTTATCTATCATACATCAATTCACCACCGGATGGTGCAGAACTGACCAACCTGTGTGGGGCTCCAGGGCCTTGTCCTGTTTTGTTTTGTTTTGGGGGAAAATAATTTTTTATACGTTTGCAGCTGGCTGGGGAACTTCTTCTTTGCCTTCACCAGCTGTGGTGTGAACTGTGATGGACATTTTTTGGTTGCTCATCCAGAACCTGAGTGTTATTGAGTGCCCATCTGTTTTATAGATCTGACTTATTTGTGTGCAGCCTGTTGGTTCGGTTCATTGCCTCTCAAGCAGATGCTTGAAATTGAAAAGAGTAGTCTAACAGTGCTGCCCCGGGAGAATTTAGAGTTGAATATCTACCATGAGTGGGATCCTCACCGGTGCTGCGGAGTTCATGCAATTGCGCTAAGATTCTTTGGACTCATGCTTGAGTTAGAAGTAGAACGGAGCATTTATGGGTCACTACCCTTGTGCCGTGATGGTGATCCATTGTTTAAACCAAACCAAACAAGACATACACCAAAAAGGTAGACCAAAACCAAGAGAAAAGATAACATCAGAAAAATGCTGCAACAGCACACTGTGTCTATAGTCAGGTGGTTAGAAGAGCAAGAAGCAGTCTTAACTCCTCCTACACCCAAAGCAGTAACAGAGAAAGAGCAGAAGAAGAATTGTGTATTCATAATAAATGACATGTGTAAAAGAATAAAAAATGTTGATACAGCTGGCTACCTTTTCAGGATTGCTTGTAAATTATTGCAATCTATTTGTCTTTTTATTTAATGCATGTCTCCGGGTTGGATTGGCGTCTGTCAGTTTGTTTTTAGTTCCTTTTCAGCCATCTGTTTGCTAGTTGTTTCTTAATTACATCTGGGTGCCTGATTGGATAATCAGCTTCTGATTGTGAAAGTTCTATTCTTCTAATCATATTTTTTGTACATGATGGCCTCACAGAGCTTTCATATTTAATGTACCAGATTCAGTGTTAATTTCTTAGAAAGATGCAAATTGTATGCATGTGTGTGTGTGTGTTTTTAATCAGTTTTTGTTGATCTGGCAGTTGTTTAACCTTCTAAACGCATACATTTTATGTCTTTTGAAAAGAAAAATTGTTGCTATGCTTCTTACAGTTAGTTCATATATGATACTGGTTTAAGTTTGCACCAGTTTATATTTGTGTCTGTCACTGCACCTTGCATACAAGCTATTTAATTTTATCAACTGAACAGGTTAAAATAATCGCTTGTGATTTTTCAAGTCACTTGCACATTAATCTGGGGTTTGACTGACCATTGTTGGTGAAAATGAGCTTCCTTCCACCATGTCCAAGGTTAAAACAAAGTTTTGAGACGTGAGGATTGACTTATTTTATCATAACAGTTATCACTGAGAGGGTTCGCACAAAGTAACAGTGCCACAGGGGGTCCCTGTGAAAATGACCCCAAAATCAAATGATGCAATTCAGCAAACTAGCCCATCGTCTTTAAGATCACTAGGCAAACAGCTTAGCTGTCTAGCCATGGAGATTCTCTTCTGCAGGTGTCTCTGGTTCAGTCCAGTGTTGGAAAGTGGGTGCTGTAAAAAAATTTTGGGGAAAAAAGGCAGCAAACATGGGAGCTGACTGCCCCACTTTGCTATCGTGCACTGTATATGAAACCTTAAACTTCACCTCCTTGTGACAGTATCTTATCTCATCTTTATTATATGATAAAGCTGTTTTCATGTCCTTTTTTGTGTAGCAATCCTCATTATCCAGTGCATACATGCAGTTGAAATTCCTCTCATAAAATGTTTTTCTTATTGACATTTATCAGACTGAACTCCTGACAAGCATGACAGATGGCCAGTTTTCTCCGACCATTGGGAATTTTATGGAGAAAACATCCTTCCACAATTAACGTCACATTCAGGAGTTGTGAAGAAAAATTAACACATTTTCAGCAGTTCCTATTTCTACATCTTCTGAAGACAGAACTTCACAGTTTGTGTGTAGAGGGTGTTAGAGCTCTGAAAGTTGCAGACTTGGCCAGACCTGCTTGTTTCTTTATACCTTTTTCTTGCAGGTACTGAAGGCATGATGATGATAATTTAGATTTGTCCTTCAGTTGTCTTTCTCATTTTCATTGCAGCTAAATCAGTGATTTTTATTTTTTAGCTAGAGCAGTTTATTGTATGTGTTTGGCAGCTTTGTTGTGCAGTTTAGCAGTCCTTTGTTATAGTGTCAGCAGCTGTTAATGTCGCTGATATATGTGTAGTGCAACAGCTGAGCTCACACTAGTGATATTCATCTTCTTGTGGTCCATGTCATGATTATCCACAACCTTCTATCTTATGTACTTTCAGTCAGTTCTGACGCAGATCATGTTCACATGCTGTTTATTGCAGAACATTGTTTTTAATTTTGTTTATTATTTTTTAACTTTCAGTAAAGTATTCTTGTTTGCCCAAGCTCTTCTGTCCAGAAAAAAACATTAATTAAAAAATTGTTCATTGTCCAAATAAGTGATCATGTTGAACAAAGGTGACTATTGTGAAACTGTTCACTAGTTAAAATTAAAATAAGTTCAAATTCTATAGGTGTCGAGGGTTTATATTGGGTAAGGCTTTAATGAATGTTCAGTTGTGTTTGTTAGATAAATCCATATTCGTATGTTCATTTTTTGTTAAACTGACCAATACACCAAATTTTTGTGGTCTCAACATAGCTGCCATAGTTGTTATTCCCATTCTTTCTTTGCCCTGCAAATAACATTGGTCTCATTTGTCCATTTTACATTTAGTATGCAATTTTGTGGCTATTATGTTTGTTGACTTTAGGGGGACATATGTTTAAGTTGTTATGTAAACAGATATGCTGTCGGTATTACAGTTGTATGTAATTAAGATGGAGAATAGTAACATTAGCTTGCCATGTCTTTATGGGGTGGGGAAAAAAAGGAAGGGAGGGGGAAATAATGCTGACCACTTCATCTCGTTAAAACAAAAAACAAAAAAACGTTTGCTGCAAAATGCAGCTAGTCATAAACAGGTCTGTAAAAAGCTGGGTGCTAGTTGGTTAGAGGGCATATGCTGCATTGAAAGGTTTAAGACTAGCAGTGAAAGCAGGGAAAAGATCTGCAGGAATGTCAAGGCTGTGCAAGCGTGACCATGGAAGATACCAACACTGATACTGAGACTTGGAATAGATCAGCTGCAGACTGCTTTCCATGGAGGTAGACAAAGACAGTCTGTCACACTTTTTACATTGGGCCAAAAACAGCAAGCTATAGAGAGAAAACCAGCCTCTGTTCAAAAGAGTATCAACATTTTTACATAGAATGTGTGGCAAAAACTGCCACTCCCACGTTGGACAGTCGTAACTAATTTTTAAAATAAACCCTTAAAGGATGTCAGTGGTAGGAGTCCTGTGACTCGTTCATGCCGCTATTGCTGGTTTCTGAGAGTTCAGTCTTATAATATCTATCCTTCGTCTCATGCCTTGACAAGTCATGGCTTTTCCACATAGATACACTCAAGTCAGACTAAAATAAGAGCTTTTCACGTTAAAAAAAAAGCTTGTCATCACCAAATTGTATTCAGGGTCTTCTTTTTTTTTCTCTTTAAAAAAAACCTATGAGTTTCAAGTTAAGAACAGACATCATAACACCTGAGACATTCCCATAAACGCTCAGTCTATTTCTTCAGCAGCAGGGGCAGAGTTCCAGTTCTGATGGCACGGGTAACAGTCTGATTGTATGTCCGTCTCACCCCTTCCCTGAATGTTGAGCGTCACTTCTGGCACCATCCTATTCAGACCATAATAATCTGTCAAACAGTGCAGAACCAATCAGTCTATCTGCTTGTTCCATTTCCCAGCACGCTGGCTGGCCCTGGAGAAAATATCCAAAGGGTGCCTGTCACTCTGCACAGAGCATAACTGTCTCCACCTTTCTCAAATGCTGTGTGGGTCAATTACAGTAATATTTTTTAAAAACTGTTGTCCTTGAAGCCTAGGCAGTATTCATAGAATGAGATAAAGGGTTGAGCAAAACATCAGTAAGTTCTCAGAGAAAAACATATCTTGACCTATATTCAAAAAACACTGTTTGAGCCATGCCTTGCAAGTTACTGGATGCGATAGAAATTTGACTATATTACTTTACGTCATACAACTGTATTAGTACAATTAGGGAGCACTTTGTTCACCCTCTGAAAGAAAGAGAGATTTTAGAGTAAAGATCATCACAGTCAGGCATGAGAGGCACACAAGACATATGTGAGGTCTTGTTAGCCAGCATAGACCTGGCATTATTAGCTATGGGGCACTGATGTATGTGTAGAGAATGAATCTGAGCACCTATGGACACATCTGAAAAAGTCATGGGGATGCCCCAACCCAGCTTCTGAGAAACATTGAAAGTTGCTCCACATTCACATGGGATAACTGCCCCTCACTATCAGGGCTATACAACTGGCAGCTAGCAGGCCAAATCTGGCAAGTGGCTGGTGGATACCTGCCATCTGTGTAGCATTTATGATCTTTCTGTGTTGGCTTCTGGCCTGCAACGATCCTTATTTTCAAATATTTTGACCCTGAGTAAGCTTAATTGAATGGCTGTGCTCTATATTAATTAATATTAAGAAGTATTCTGGTGAATTTTGCATCTTTGACAACATGAATGATGCAGCATTTTCTAATTTATACTTAAGATTGTTTTCTTTCTTTCTTTTGTTTCAAGAATGGAACAAAATGGAAGTGATGCAAAGAAGCTGAAATCATCAACTGAACTGGCTGAATTTGATGCCCTGTTTCTGGAGCTGGTTGATGAGTTGACAAAGAATGAAATAAAGAATCCTGAAATAGCAGATGCTTTCATATGGTTCAAAGAGGTAAATTGTATGGCTCGTTGTTGGTTGGTTGTGAATCCTCTCTGAATGGTAGCCCTTAAGTCTGCTGTATTAATGTCCATATTGTCTGGAGTCTGAAAGTAGTTCTCTTTTTCTGGAGCAAGTTTTGTGTACAGACTGTTCTCCAGACTTTGTACCAAAGGGGCCATTTGCACAGGCACTGTTTGTAGAGCAAATAAACAAGCGTTTGTGCTACTCTAGTATGTGATAGCAACGGGTTGGATGAGTTTGTTGAGGGCCTTTGTTGCACTGGGGAATAAAGAGCAGAAGTAAGACTGGTGCTGGAACTACAGCTGAAGAGAAGTAGGCATTGCTTCGGAGGTTAAGAGTCAAGGATGTTCTTTGTATTTTTCATCTTCTTTGTTCACCGGCTGTAAGCTCCAGCAGAAAGGCCTGGTTGTTCCTGGGGAATAAAGAGCGGAAGTAAGACTGGTGCTGGAACTACAGCTGAAGAGAAGTAGGCATTGCTTCGGAGGTTAAGAGTCAAGGATGTTCTTTTTATTTTTCATCTTCTTTGTTCACAGGCTGTAAGCTCCAGCAGAAAGGCCTGGTTGTTCGTCCATTTGTATAAATTGTCCTTGTGGCAGGTCCTGAGTTTGCATGTACATCTGTGTTAATGGCTTACTTGTGTGTAGTTGTTTGTTCCTTGCCTCTCAGGCAGAAGTGCTTCGACTTTGAAGTTGACTCTTATGACATGCTTGTTGGGGAGGCAGTGGGTCCATTCTTGTTTTCCCACACTAGGATCCCGGAACCCACACAGGGATCTTTGTATTTTATGTTATCACAGTCGACGGCACTGCACGGGCCTTCCCAGATGTACCCAGTTCTCGGAGGCACTAGCTACAGGACTGTCAGTCGGAATGGAGCTCAGTCGTAACTCGAGGAGACCCTGTAATTACATCATCAAGAAGCATTTATCTCCACCCAGCATAGTGTTGTTAGTGCGTGCCAGTTGGTCTGTAAAATTATCTTTAGCATCATTTGCCCAGTGCACCGCGAGCATGAAGAAAGTTCTTTAGTTTTACTTTAACAACATTTGTCTTGACAGGTTTTACATTATAATGTACCATTTGGCAAGAAAAATCGAGGAGTGTCTGTTGTGACATCGTACAAGCATTTGGTGCCAGAGGCGTCTGAAGCAGATTTGAAAATTGCACGAGTTCTGGGATGGTGTGTAGAATTGGTAAGAAATAAGTGTGTTATATTTTTAATTACTAGGTCTTAATTTTATAAACAATTTATCTGTCTTTTTGTCCTTGTTGTGTGTACCTTCTTATATCTTCCTAGTTAATATGTTTCATTTACCAGGCTATGAATAGATTTGCTCCCTTTAAACAAATATTAATGTTTCTTTATCCACTCATTGTCTTTCTCTTCTGTTTTTAATGTCTTCTGTCACTCTTTTTTTTAATATTTCTGAAAAGGGTAGTTTAGATAAAACCCAGCCCTGTAAAGCTTTATGAAAGATGCATTAGTGTATGTTTATGAGGTCTCATAGACTGCATTCGTTGGGGCATTTAGAGAGAGTGGCAGATAATAGAGACAAAAACTGTATATACAGAAGTGTTGAATGCGTGTAGACCACGAGTCAGGCCTTGAAGATGGTAAAGAGATAGTATACGGGCAGACTACACAAGCACTTGGAGTGATCACTAGCTGAAAAGAAAACGCAAAGAGATGAATGGAGGCGGGTCTCTGCAGCACTGAATTTTTAGGGGCTGTGAATGCTGAAGAATAAGAAGCTATTAGCAGGTTTGGCAGCTTTTAATAAGAAGCTATTAGCAGGTTTGGCAGCTTTTAATAAAACCGCTGTTAGGAAGCAAGCATATGCCTGGGGTGGCTAAAAGTTACCTACAAAAACTGCTTGGGGAGATGACAAAAACTCTTTACAAAGTACTTTGTTACTTCATTGGACAATTTGGTCAGCACTGTCATGTCTTTCAATGTGGAATCATCACTTGAGATCTTGTTTGTCTAAACAAATGACAGTTACATGTCAAAAGATTTTTGATTCATTCTCTTACTAGATCATTGATGCATCTTTATACCAGATCTTTGATTCACTCTCCTACTAGATTTTTGATCCATCCTCTAAGGATTTATGGCCACTTGGCTTGTGCTGTTGCCATGAACTGTGCAGTATTTTATTCATGACCCCTGCTCCAGAGAGAATTCCCTAGCCCTATTGAGTATTCGAACCCGGGTCTCCTGCATAAGAGCGCTCCGATCATACTGATTCAGTAGTGTGAGACTAAGACCTCATTACACTCGATTATACTTACTCCAGCATGATGCTGCATAGGTTTTTCTTTCGATGAAGCCTCCTGGCCTTTTTGTGTGTGTGGTTCCTCTCACATTTGCTTTCTTTTCTCAGATACTCATATGCTCACTCAGTCGCACACATTAGCCTGTTATACTTTTTCAGCTTAGGAAAGTTCAAAAGTAGCTATGCAGCAGGCTCTGTAAGTTCAAAATTACAACAGTATTATTTTTACAGGGACCAGATACACAAATCTTGCAGGAAACACATACATTGTCATACTTTTAGACCTCTGTGACTAATATTATTCGTTGTCTGTATCGAACATCCTAGTACATCGGTGCAAACCATTTGTCCTACATCCTCTGATGCAGCAGCCATCTGTCTCTCCTGCTCCATGTACCCAGTAGGGGTTGACTGGCATATCTTCTTTCTTTGCCTCACAGCCGACTTCTGCATACTTGTCCTTGTTTGATCCCGATTGCCAACAGGCAGTTCATTGTATTCTTTGGTCAAACTTGTAATGTATAACCACATGTGTCATATTGATTAGTCCATATGAAGAATAGAACGGAAAAGATTATTAACTCTGTTCACTTGCAGATATAACAATTTCAGTTTGAATTTGAACCCCTGGTTACAAGCGGACATAAAAGTCTCATATGGGGATTGAACCCTTGGTTGCAAGTAGAAAAAAGTCTCATATGGGGATTGAATCCCTGGTTACAAGCAGACATAAAAGTCTCAAATGAGAATTAAACCCCTGGTTACAAGCAAACATACAAGTCTCATATGGGAATTAAACCCCCTCGTTACAAGCAGACATAAAAGTCTCCTATGGGGATTAAACCCCTGGTTACAAGCAGACATAAAAGTCTCCTATGGGGATTAAACCCCTGGTTACAAGCAGACATAAAAGTCTCCTATGGGGATTAAACCCCCTGGTTACAAGCAGACATAAAAGTCTCATATGGGAATTGAACCCCAGGTTACAAGCAGACATAAAAGTCTCCTATGGGGATTAAACCCCTGGTTACAAGCAGACATAAAAGTCTCATATGGGATTGAACCCCTGGTTACAAGCAGACATAAAAGTCTCATATGGGATTGAACCCCTGGTTACAAGTAGGAAAAAAAAGTCTCATATAGGGGTTGAACACCTGGCTACAAGCAGACAAAAGTCTCATATGGGAATTAAACACCTGGCTACATTTAAACCCCTGGCTACAAGTGGACATAACACTCTCACATATGAATTGAGACTGGACCACAGCACAGACACCTCAACATTGTGTTGATTGTTGTTGCTCTGTTTGTGTGTGTATAATGTGATTATTATCCGTTGTGAAAATTTTTGTTGTTTGAAAAAAGATTGTTCTTATTTTGTTTGAAAAAAAAACAAACAGCTGCAGGCATTTTTTCTGGTTGCTGATGATATAATGGACAATTCATTGACTCGCAGAGGGCAGCCATGTTGGTATAAAAAGGTTGGTATCTTAAGGTTGCCGAAACATGTGTGTTATTTTATAGCAACTTAATGGGGACAAATTATCTAACCACTTTGTTTATTATGAAGCTTTTTGTTCTTCAGGGAACAAAAATTTGTCTATAATGGTATGCTGAATATTTGCAGATGTTTACCATGTTCCACTGCTGTTTAATTGTTAAATTTTTTTTTTACTGCAGTATGACAAAGCTAAAACCTTCCTGAAAAAACGTATTGGTTGTATGTTTAGTGTTTTAAATTAAAGAGAAATAAATACAGCACACATCTAAATTAATTAAGGATCAATATTGCAACAACAAAGTATTAAAATGATACCGCATTTGAGGATGTTAGACACACATATAGATTTTGTACACGTGAAGTTTTGTACTTTACTTGTATACTTGATCAGTAACAGTAACACTGCTGTCCATTTCTAAGCTTTATCTACAGGGGTTGTTTAAAGGGTTGAAAGCTCCCATTGACTTCCCGGATAGTTTCTTGGGACAGGGGCGCGTCATTGCCATTTTTATGTGCTGTTTTTTTCCCCCCTTACCTACAGGTGTTGCCCGTGGAGAACCTGTCCAGGGCAACTGTGTGTAGACTGGTTGACCCTTAAGGAAAGAGAGGGGCAGATTATCAGCTTTCCCTGCCATCCAAGGAGGCTTCCATAAATGCAGAGCCACACATGACGCTGTAGTCCTGGGCTCACTAAAGGATTCAGCACGTCCTGCACATGACTACCTTACCACTAGTCACAGGCTGTACCTTCCAGAGATCAGCAGGGAGCAGCCCGCATGTCCTGGACTTTGATGATCACACAAATAGGTCCACTCTTTTCATGGACAACACTGCTGCACATTTTATTTGGAATACTTTTCAACTTGTCTTTGTTAGTGTGTGGGGGAGGGAAGATTCTTTGTTTGTTAGTGTGTGGGGAGGGGAGATTCTTTGTTTGTTAGTGTGTGGGGACGGAAGATTCTTTGTTTGTTAGTGTGTGGGGAGGGAAGATTCTTTGTTTGTTAGTGTGTGGGGAGGGAAGATTCTTTGTTTGTTAGTGTGTGGGGACGGAAGATTCTTTGTTTGTTAGTGTGTGGGGAGGGAAGATTCTTTATCCTTGTTTTATCATTGGAAATGTTTCCTTAGAAATGGGAGTGCCTGTTCTTTGTCAGTGAGGTGGGCTTTATTTATATCAGAAGATTTAAAGTGTCTTATAGATACCTTTTTTTTTTTCAGGAGAAAGTTGGAAATACAGCAATAAATGATTCATTTTTTTTGGAGTGCACCATTTATAGCCTGTTGAAGAAATACATCAGAGACAAGCCTTACTACTTGTCCATTATGGAATTGTTTTTGGAGGTATGATTATAACCCTTTAGGAAATTTTTTTTTTTTTTTTTTTCAGTCTAAAAATATTACTTAATACCACTCTGCCTGTGCGGTCTATGTTATTTCTAACCATATTTTGCTGTGCCTCGTTTGTTTTTAGAATCAGGTCAAATATGTAATCCTGGCTCCACTAGTAACTTAATGTCCTGGCTCCACTAGTAACGTAATGTCCTGGCTCCACTAGTAACGTAATGTCCTGGCTCCACTAGTAACGTAATGTCCTGGCTTCACTAGTAACGTAATGTCCTGGTTCCACTAGTAACGTCATGTCCTGGCTCCACTAGTAACATGCATGTCCTGGCTCCACTAGTAACATAATGTCCTGGCTCCACTAGTAACGTAATGTCCTGGCTCCACTAGTAACGTAATGTCCTGGCTCCACTAGTAACATGCATGTCCTGGCTCCACTAGTAACATGCATGTCCTGGCTCCACTAGTAACATGCATGTCCTGGCTCCACTAGTAACGTAATGTCCTGGCTCCACTAGTAACATGCATGTCCTGGCTCCACTAGTAACGTAATGTCCTGGCTCCACTAGTAACGTAATGTCCTGGCTCCACTAGTAACGTAATGTCCTGGCTCCACTAGTAACGTAATGTCCTGGCTCCACTAGTAACGTAATGTCCTGGCTCCACTAGTAACGTAATGTCCTGGCTCCACTAGTAACATGCATGTCCTGGCTCCACTAGTAACGTAATGTCCTGGCTCCACTAGTAAGGTAATGTCCTGGCTCCACTAGTAACATGCATGTCCTGGCTCCACTAGTAACGTAATGTCCTGTTCCACAAATAAAGTCTGCCTTCTTCCCCTGCCTTGTTCAATAAATTATGTATCCTGCTTCATCAGAAGCAGACAGCTTCCGATCCACACAGCACTTTCTTCTGGTACTTTCAAGTGATCCCAGCCTAGATGCAAAACATGTCCATTTGTGACTGAGACCTCTTTGGTCCTCTTTCCAAATGGTTTATTTCGCAGTAGGGAAGCATTTGCTTGTGAATCATCCAAACCTATTGATGCTATCACCTACAGAAAATGCAATGGTGGCTTATATTAGGGAAACTTGTAGAAAGCTAGCAGATTGTTTCTATCAACATTTTAATGATATTCACAATGAGGCTCTTAAACCAGCTTTGCTCCATTTTAATAGTCCAGACTAGCTGTGGGAAAATGGTATCTCACTAAAAGTAAAGAACCCTTCTCCACGGCTGTAGCTTATTCAGCAAAAGGGGCTAGACCTCTATTTTATAGACCGATCAGCACTTGGTGGGTGATGTGCTCAGCTTTACGCCAGCTGCCTTTACTTGCCAATACTGATGGGGGCTGCGTGGTTTTGAGGCATTGTGTCCGCCTTGAGTGCTAGAGGTTCCGGGTTCAATCCCCAGTAAGGGCTGGAATTTTTTCACGTGGACTTGGACTTATAGTAATTCTCCCCTGATGTCTGGGTAGTGAGATCGGACGCCCAAGTGCATTGTTGTGCACGTAAAAACATCCCTTGGCAGTTGGAAAAGGAATAGCCTACAGGCCTGCTCGCACAAAATTTGGAGTTTAAAATCTGCCGAAAGTATTACACGATCATCGCCGGTGCTACAGATCCTGTGCACTGTGCTGAGCTTTTTTGGACTCAGACTTGAGTTAGAAGAAGAGCAGAGCACTTATGGGTTACTACCAGTGTGCCATGATGTTGATCTGTTGTTAAAAAAAAAACGTTCAATACTTTACTGCTATAAAATATTGTTGCGGTGATCAAACCAGCCACTGCTCCTTAGAAAATTATTTCCTTCAGTTTTGGCATTCTCAGTCCTGCAGGGATCAGTATTCACCACACCTATATTTAGTTTAGATTCCTGGTATTTCCACTTCTAATTTCATTTCCTTATGTAGCGCTTTAAGTATATTTTTCCTATTACATATTTCTTGGTTACATGTTGACCGTAGTTGTTTACAAGCTCTCTTCTCTTGCCCATTAAATTTACAATTAGAGTTGTAGTTTTGTGTTCCACTGAAAAAGACTTTGGTCTAAATATTTAGATGTATTTTTGCGCGTCTTTTCCATTTCTTTCTGTGAGCTTTCTATTCACATTTTGTTTTGTAGTTATAACTTCTTGTCCTCAGCTCGACTGCAGTCAGCCCTTATTTACGTCATTACTTTAGTCTGTACTGTTGTTTTTCTTATAAATATCAGCTTTGTCCCTGCTTCTTACCAACTGTGTTTGTACCTTACTTACCAAGTGGTCCACTTGTTCATTACTTTCTAGTTAATTGACCAATTATTCACATCACATATCGGAGAAGTTGAGTGCTCGGATCTCATCCATACACCAAATTATATATAGTGTGGTCTAGAAATAACATGGATCAGTTTATTTCAAAATTGCCTCTGGTGTGCTGGAGTTTCATGCTTCTGATCTGAAACCATCATCTTCTGCACTGGCCTACCAGGTGTATAGATTTAGGTTGGGGGTGGAGGGGGGGGGGGGCACAGCATGACTCCTGAATAATGTCTGCCAGCTGTTGTCATTTTTTTTTGAAGTGTGTTCATGACATTTGGTATGATCACCACATGTATGACTGCTTGTTCAGCTTCCTCTGTAGGTGTTGTCCTGGAAGCAGTGTAATTTCCATTGGTTGTACTTGACATAGTTGCCTGGTAAATGTCACTGTCTTCTTTTTCTTTCCTTATTCTTAGTACCATTTCAAATTACTGAATGTTAAACCTTGACCCCTCACTTCAACTTCCTGGGTCAACATGTGTAGATGATGATGGTCAATTATGAATGCTTTTATTGTTTCCTTGTTCACAAGATTTCTGTTCTTGTTGTTAGATCAACTCTTGCAGTAATTAATACTTCGTTGGTTCAGACAGTAGTATGAGAGTTGCACTGTGAAAGAGATTGTGGCCTCACCACATAATATTTGCAAAGACAGCAGTGGATGGACCTTCACTGTGGAGGCAGGCCAGGATTTTAACTCTTTAAGTCCCAAACAACGCATAAAGTGTTAATCACTCTGTCGGTGAGATCTGTGTTTTGCTACTTTTGTATTTGGTTGAAACCCACTCAAAGTAATGTGTCTTATCCATTGGTCACTACTACTGTTATATAACTGTTTTGTAAGTAATGCACCGTTGAATTTTTAATCACCAATATTTCATCATTGGTATCTCCTACAAAACCTTCTTGTACCTCTGAAAGTTTGTGTTAAATATCCTTTGTTTCTTTGTCTAGACAACGTTACAGACGGTAACCGGTCAGTGCTTGGATCTGACAACAGCAGCCTCTGAAGGGGTTGATTTCTCCAAGTTCACCATGGAAAGGTACAGTGCCATCGTCAAGTGGAAGACAGCTTTCTATTCATTCTATCTCCCCGTGGCTATTGCTATGTACATGGTGAGTACACATAGAGTGCCATGTGGACTTCTTAGCATTCACCGGCTGTAAATTCCAGCAGAAAGTCGTGGTTGTGTGACCATTTCTGGACTTTGGTCTTGTTTCAGAACTTGAATTTTGCATGGGAACCAAAAACTGATCAGAGTGTGCTCCCCATGTCAGTTCGGTGGCCTGGGGGGGGGGGGGTGGACAAAAGAATATATCCACCACCCCTCTTAACAAGCATATTGTAAGAGGCGACAAATTCTTATTTACTTGAATCAGATTTGTTGGGCTGAAAGAAGAAGATATCTCAGCCTAGCACACAACACAGTGCACAACTGTCTTTAAGCGAGAATAAAGAAGAAGAAAAATGAATGTGAACACATAACTCAGGTTCTGGAACAAGTCTAAATGTCCCAGAGGTGATTGAAAAACCAGGACTTTACACTGGAGTTTACAGCAGGTGAACGCAAAGAAGAAGAAGCAGAAGAGATTTAGACAGTAAAAATGTAATTTGTTTTCATTACAATTCTCTGCATTATAATGGTGTATAGTCCATTATCACACCACACCAATCTTCACATTATAACTGCACACTAATGTCATTTATGGCACAATCTGTGGCGTTAACACGTGTGCACACACACAAATGTTACACAACGACACACACACACACAAATAAATACACACATGTAACAGTCTTTCTGTAGCTGTCTTCTTTTCATTTCAATAGTTTTGTTTATCTTTGAGAACATTCTCAGTCTGAACCAAGCCATCATGAATCATGTGGGGCTGGTTGGAATAGTGTAAGAACCACTGTTTGTCAGCCATCTAATCACATAACATAACCCTTGACCTATTAGGGTCATGGAGGTGTATTGATGGAAGCACTGGCACATAAAACCTGCAACCATTGGGTTTTTGTACTGATTATCCATCAGACATTTCAGTGGGCAAACGGTTTGCTTGGTGGTCCCCATCTCCTCTCCAAGTAAGATCTTATATACTGTGTTGAAAACAGGACCTAGTTCTCTCAGATCAGGGCTATTCAGGTGGGAGCCCGTGTGCCAAATCTGGCATATTAGATTGCGGATAATTGCCAGTTGTTTTGTATTGATCTTTAAATGGCGGAGCTCTGGCCCGTGACGGCCCCCATTCAGCCCTGCCCTGGATGGCAAGCATAAGTGAACTCTTAAGAAATTTGTATATGTTACATTGCATGGAAAGACATAGCCTATGATGAATGAGATGTTCAATATATGGATGCAAGGTTAAACAGTCAAGAAGCAGGATGTGACCTGCCTTGGGTGAGCCCAGTATCACAGTACCATGTATTTGCTCTGCAGGTGTGGAAGCCTCCTTGGATGGTGGGGAATGCTCATGTTCTACCTCTTGTTTTCTCTTGAGGGCTGATCAGCATTATGTGGCTTCACTGGACCGGCCTCATGTGGGGCATCACCTGTGACCTGGGAAACAAAGATGGCCACGCAACATTGAAACTGCAGTGTCCCACGAAACTAACCGGTAAGGCTAACCAGGTCAACAAATGCCCACAGAAGTCAGATGTGTTGGCCGAGAAGGTGCAGATATCGCAGCCTTGCTGTAAACGGGCACAACACAGTTACATCTTTGGATCAACGCATATGAATATATAACATTAATAGAACACAGCCCACTGAGTTTTTCTATCAAATATGGTATGCTTCCTATTTACTTGCAGGCTGGAATCTCAGATGGGGAGTCACACACAAAAGCAAAAACAATACTGTTACAGATGGGTCACTTCTTTCAAGTTCAAGTAAGTGATGCTGAATGTTTACTTTGTATTAATAAAAATGTTTATCCTTCTTTTCTGTCCTCTTTCAAGTAAATTGTGCTACCTATTGTTATGCACTTTTTGTAGTTAAGAGATCAGAGTGTATTCCTGTGAATTATTTTATAAATGACAGGTTGACCCCAGTCTTCCTTTTTTGGCTGTGAATTCTATTGGAAGGTCCCGGTATTTCATCCATTTGGACTTTCGGCTTTTACCTGGACCTGAGTTTTGTGTGTACATCTGTTTTACTAGCTTATTTGTTTGACATTCCCTGCTTCACTGGCAGATGTACTCTGATTTCGAGGGAAGACGTCAAGCCTATCTCTAGGATGACTGGCCATTGTTTTGTGTGGGTCGAGATCTTGCCTCTTTTGTGTGGTGTCCTTTGATCTTCAGGGGTTGCCCCTGGAGTACCCCCATTAGGGCAGCCCTATGTAGAACGGTCACCCCTCAAGGATAGGCAGGGGCAGATCATAGGCATTCCCCGCGATCCAAGGAGGTTTCCATAAATCCAGAGCCCACACATGATGCTCTGGTTCTGAGCTCACCCAAGAAATCATCAGGTCCTGCACATGACTGCCCAACCTCACAACTGTAAATCAAGCTTCCGGTTGTGAGCTCAACCAAGGAATCGTCAGGTCCTGCACATTACTGCCCAACCTCACAACTGTAAATCAAGCTTCCGGTTGTGAGCTCAACCAAGGAATCGTCAGGTCCTGCACATGACTGCCCAACCTCACAACTGTAAATCAAGCTTCCGGTTGTAAGCTCAACCAAGGAATCGTCAGGTCCTGCACATGACTGCCCAACCTCACAACTGTAAATCAAGCTTCCGGTTGTGAGCTCAACCAAGGAATCGTCAGGTCCTGCACATGACTGCCCAACCTCACAACTGTAAATCAAGCTTCCGGTTGTGAGCTCAACCAAGGAATCGTCAGGTCCTGCACATGACTGCCCAACCTCACAACTGTAAATCAAGCTTCCGGTTGTGAGCTCAACCAAGGAATCGTCAGGTCCTGCACATGACTGCTCAACCTCACAACTGTAAATCAAGCTTCCGGTTCGACACGGGCTGTACCCTCTGGAGATCAACTGGAAGCAGCCCACAGGTCTATAACTTTTGTAACCACACAAATAGGTACATTATTTTTTGTGGCACATTACACATCTTTAACGATGTTTCAACGGTGCCCTTAGCACAACAGAATGGAGAATCATGTGTCAGGCATGTCTTCATCTATTTGGTCCCAACATTTGGGCGAGTGGGGCTACTGAATGCGGGCATTTGGACTTTTTTCCAATCAGTACCATTTATGATGGTCGGATTTTAAGCTTGCTTGTGTGCCGTAGGATCTATGTTTGTCTGACATTTGGCCTAGCCAGCAGATGAACAGTTGCTGACGTGGTGTACCTCAGCGAAGTGACGACGATGCTGAGGGTTGACAGAGGAGCTACATAGGTAGGATCCTACTGTGAGAAACCGTCCACAGGAGATGTTAATCGTCTAAGTTGGGGGTAAATCTCTTGGTCAAGGGTTGAGTCTCAGCAGCACAGTTTTCCCATTCACTCCACATCTTTTAACCTAGAGTTGTCATTTAGTGGTACATTTGGGAAGTAGACTTTACTCATGTTCCAAATGAGTTTTGACAGACTTTTTCACCCATGCATTTCGGGACGGGCTGATGAGAGCCAGAAAGGACACTACACCTTTGGGGGCCGCCGGCTCCGAGATTTCCTGACAGATCTGTTAATGATCATTTGAGACATTATCCGTGGCCCATGACAAGGGCGTGCAGTAGGAGTCTTGAATGAGGTTCTGTAAAACCAGAAAAGTGAAGGGCTGGTGCCTGAGTGAGGTACGGAGAATCTCCTTATAACATCACATCAGGTTTAACTTTCCCTCACGCCTGTGACAGAAATCACCATGCCACAACCTGTCTAAAATATAGGTACCAGGAAATATGGGAGGTGAACATGACCTGGGTGGCGTAACCAATTCAGGTATTGATCACTGATGGGCATTTTTATATCACAGCCAGAAGTTTCAGACTTCCGGTCAATATGGAGGATAGGCGTGTTTACTGTTTTTTTTCTTTTTTAGTTGTATCAAGTTTTTCCTCTGACAGTAGTTAGCCATTGCAATTTTCAGTACTTTTTGAATAGCGGACCACGAACGTGAAATCCACAGATCCTGGGGCAGTCCAATATTTCAAGGGGTGTATAGTTTTATAATGTGGCATTTCATTTGCTATGCACTTTTGTGCTGTACTGTTTTCAGTTTTGTGTGTTGTTCAGTTTTTTTTCTGTGCATTAAAATTTTTGTGGTTTTTTTTTTTCCTTGGGGGGAGGATGCCGTTTTGCAATTTGTTTGTGTGAAACTGTATGTGTGTGGAGTCGGCAGGATGCCGTGCCAATTGGGCTATTTTGGGGGTGGCCCTAAAAAAGGTCTATCATTATAGATGTCTACTGCTGAGTTCACGAAGTGACAATCAGAACAATTTTACACATGAGTAGATCTGGAGAAATGTAGGAACGTGGCAGCTGATGCTAATTCAAGGGAATTCATAGTGAAGATTGAACACACATTGTGGGAGGAAACACGCAAAAACCTTGGCAACGCCTTGGAAGAAACACAGAAAGCAGGGAAACCCGGTCTTACCACCCCTCTAAAATATCGGACTGTTCTGTGACGTCATTTGTGGTCAGCTATGAAGAAAGAAACCAATTTTCCCCCATACATAGACTGAAAAGATATAGTTCCATTATGCAGCTACTGAATGGAGTGCATGATGTGAAGTTTTTTCACAAGGAAATGTGATGGACATTCTGTGAGTTTTCATTGGGACAGTAACAGAGCAGCTATGGGGTGATCCGTTTCCTGTGATGTCCTAATTACATGATTGGACTGAAAATAATATGGGTCTAGCTCCAAATGTCTGATGCAGCAACGGCGTTGGACAGGGCCATTCAACTAAGTTTACTAGAGATGATAGTCATGATAACAGCTGGCCAGATTTGGCTCCCAGGCCACCAGTTGAATAGCCCTGACACAGGAGATATCTTTTACTTTACTTAAGTTCTGTACACATCTTCCATCCAAAATAAAGGGCTCTACACTACACCAATCTGAGCCAGAGAATTCAGGGTTGCATGGTTAGCGCTGTTGTCACAGACTGCAGATTAGGATGTTGTCACCCACCACAGAAACCTTCATCATCTTACTTGGGATTGAACCTGGTGCACTAACCATTTGGCCAGCTCCTCTTCCTGTGATAAAATATTGTCTTTTTCCTGAAAGTTGATTTTGTTGCTACTGCAAATGTTCTATTACATCAGAAATTAAGGCCAGCTCCTCTTCCTGTGATATAATATTGTCTTTTTCCTGAAAGTTGATTTTGTTGCTACTGCAAATGTTCTGTTACATCAGAAATTAAGGCCAGCTGTGATTAGTTTGACAGTGATTAAATGCTGTCTTGTTCTCAGGATGATTACCTTGATGACAGTGATTAAATGCTGTCTTGTTCTCAGGATGATTACCTTGATGACAGTGATTAAATGCTGTCTTGTTCTCAGGATGATTACCTTGATGACAGTGATTAAATGCTGTCTTGTTCTCAGGATGATTACCTTGATGACAGTGATTAAATGCTGTCTTGTTCTCAGGATGATTACCTTGATGACAGTGATTAAATGCTGTCTTGTTCTCAGGATGATTACCTTGATGACAGTGATTAAATGCTGTCTTGTTCTCAGGATGATTACCTTGATGACAGTGATTAAATGCTGTCTTGTTCTCAGGATGATTACCTTGATGACAGGGATTAAATGCTGTCTTGCTCTCAGGATGATTACCTTGATGACAGTGATTAAATGCTGTCTTGTTCTCAGGATGATTACCTTGATGACAGTGATTAAATGCTGTCTTGTTCTCAGGATGATTACCTTGATGACAGTGATTAAATGCTGTCTTGTTCTCAGGATGATTACCTTGATGACAGGGATTAAATGCTGTCTTGTTCTCAGGATGATTACCTTGATGACAGTGATTAAATGCTGTCTTGTTCTCGGGATGATTACCTTGATGACAGGGATTAAATGCTGTCTTGTTCTCAGGATGATTACCTTAATGACAGTGATTAAATGCTGTCTTGTTCTCAGGATGATTACCTTGATGACAGGGATTAAATGCTGTCTTGTTATCAGGATGATTACCTTGATGACAGTGATTAAATGCTGTCTTGTTCTCAGGATGATTACCTTGATGACAGGGATTAAATGCTGTCTTGTTCTCAGGATGATTACCTTGATGGCAGTGATTAAATGCTGTCTTGTTCTCAGGATGATTACCTTGATGACAGTGATTAAATGCTGTCTTGTTCTCAGGATGATTACCTTGACTGTTATGGTGCTCCTGAGGTCATAGGAAAAGTAGGAACTGATATACAAGACAACAAATGTGGATGGCTCATTGTGAAAGCATTAGAGATTGCCTCAGATGAACAGAAAGAGAAACTTCAGGTAGGAGTAAATTTATTGCTTTCATTTACTTTTCATTGATTAAAAATAAGGATTCATTAACATTGCTTAATGTCCCAGTGTGGGGTTTCAGGACCCCATTGTGGGGATAACAAGAATAGACCCATTACTTCCCCAGCATGCATGTCATAGGAGTCAACTAACTGGGGAGGGGGCATCTTTGGAAGTCGGAGTGCATATTCGTGAGAGGCAAGAAACAACAATCTGCATGTAAATGTTAGATATGTAAAACAGTTGTGCACGCAACAGTCAGATTCTGGAACAAAACCAATAACCAGAACTTTCTATTTGAGTTTACAGCCGGTTAACTGGAGGGAAAAAGAAGACATGGCTTAAAGTGCTTTAAAATGACTATGGTAAAAAATGTAATGGGCCCTTCTCATGCTAATGGAGCATTAGACATATTGTACTAGATCCATGTTTTTATAGACCAGTCAGCACCTTCCTCCTCTTCTTTGTTCGTCGCTGTAGGCTCTTGCGGAAAGTTCTGGTTGTTCGTCCATTTGGACTTTGGCTTTGTACCAGGGTCTGAGATTTGCGTGTTCATCTGGTTTACTTGCTTATTTGTGAGCAGTTGGTTGTTCCTTGCCGCCCGGGGAGATGCACTCCCACTTTGAAGGAAGCTCCCAAATTGTTGATTCTTATGACATGCTTGTTTGGAAGGCATTGGTTTTATTCTTGTTTTTCCACAGTGGGGCCCTAGAAGTCATCACCTGGTGGGTGATATAGTTGATTTTTGCTTCCGACATAAAAAAATTGTATAACCTTACTGATGATTCAAACCTGGATCATGTCGAGATATGTCACCGTCATAAAAAGTGTCCTGTGCTTCACTAAGTGTGGGGTTGCGTTGTGTAGCAGCTAGACGCTCAACTGCAGATCTGAAGGTGTGGGTTCGGTTCTTCTTCAAGCCAGACTTTAAAATAAAAAATTTGACTTTGGCTCCCCAGGTCCACCTAATTTTAAATGGGTATCAGGTACAGTCCTGGGAAGTAAAGGTGGCCAGCATGATGTAGACCACATCACCCACAAAGTGTCAGTTGGGTCTGTTAAATATAGGTCTAGCCCTATATGCCTGAAGGTGTGGAAAAAGGGTCCTTCACATTACTGAACACCCTTGTTGGTTAACTTGATTTTATTTAGATATGATTTAGAATTTAATATTCTTGGTGTTTTTGTTGCCAGGCGAATTATGCCAGGTGGGAAACTGAAGCTGTGGAGAAGGTTAAAGCCATCTACAGGGACCTGAAACTGGAGGATGTCTACAAACAGTATGAGGAGAGCAGCCATGAGGAAATTACTAATTTAATTAACTCTATAGCCTCTGCAGTGCCTAAAGAAGTCTTTCTAGACTTTGCTAGTAAGATATACAAGCGTGAGAAGTAGGCTAGTTTCTGCCTAGAGATGTCTGTCTACCCATATATGTGTATATATCTCTCCATCTATAGGTATCAGAAATATATCATAAAAGATATATTTTAAAATATGAGTTTGTGTGAATGCTACTCAGTCCGTGCCAGACAAACCACTTGTTGATTGCTTATTCCCTGTGTAACAGAAATACCTTTGGACACTGTCTAGGAATGTCTTTCTTGACTTTGTCAGTGAGATAGGGGAGCATGAGAAATGGACAGGTTTCTCAATAAGAGAGAAGCACAAAAGGCTATGCTCGAAATGAGAACAGGGGTGCAGCAAAGATGTCTTTTATCATCTTGAGTAACTCTTACCAACTGCTGGCTGGATTATAAAGATAACATTAGTAGTTTCCCTTGGGAGTTAAAGAAGAAAAGAATATCAATGTGTAGGTACTGAATATAAGTACGTTTAAGACTGCAGAGTATTTTTTTATTTGATTTTCGCACACTTTTTTCGATGTGGTATTGCATTAAATGTTATTTTAGGGCAGACTTATGACTAAAGAGATTGCTATTAGTGGGTCCTAACATAGCATAGCGTATAACAGTATGGTAAAAATTTACTAAAGCCTTTCTTACACTTTTGGCAGCCACTGTAGAAAATTATCTAGTCACAAATGAGTGTTTTAAATGAATTTTAAAAACAGTGCACAACAGTGTGAGAAACTATGCAGATGTTTTATTATTGTTTTCTGGAATCATGTTGTAGTACATGGTTGATGTAATGTGTTTCCAAAATTCTTTAGACAGCCAAAATTACTAATTCATTTATGTGTGAAGAGGAGGCCACCCATCCTCTAGGTAATGGGTACCAGAGTTAACGTTCTGGGGTAAATGGAGGAACGTCGCTGTAGCTATGGAGTTGCGTGCAGACGGCGAACAACAGGTGGACAGTTTTTTTAAGCTGACCGTATAGGTGGCAGAGCACTTATGGTTTATAACCATGCGCAGTGACACCGATTCACATCTTCTGACTTTACCATTTTAGAGGTTAAGATCCGAAGACAAGTTATCACAAACATCAGAAAGGAGCAATCATAATTGTTTAGAAACATAATGGGAAAAGATAAATGGGAACTTGTGGAAACTTGAGAAGTTTCTAAAAAAAAATAGGGGGGGGGGGGGGGGGGGTCAGCACACGAGAGCAGCTACGAGGAAATTACTAATTTAATTAACTCTAACAGTGAATGCCCACATTCGGCGACCAGACACATGATGATGACTCCACAGTAGTCTCATTTAATTTATATTACTTTTCATTCATCATTGTGAACAGCACAATTCATTATTTTCCAAAGCTCAATGTAAAACAATATACTTTTGGAAATGCTGTCTCAGTTAGTTCATACAAAGTGAAATTTACCCTGTCATCGATAAAAGTGAATCTTTTTTTTTCTTCTGTTTTTTCCAATTGCGTGAGTGAGTAGGTCACCAGAATAGGGACATGATCACATAAAACATACACATCGTATGCATGTAGTGGATCTTTTACAGAATGTCTAGCTCATCAGGCCCAACCTGAAAGAAACTTGGCTTCTTGCCAGCTTTGCTACCTCGGGCACTTTCCAACCCATTGTGTTTCTTGCATCCTGTGCGTATCTTCATGCTGGTTGGTCCCAAGCTCTTCTTTCCCGGTGCCATGCCCTCCGTATGCCCAGCACTATGACATTTGATATGGCCAAAATATTTCACTTTCCGAGACCAGGTGATGTTAATGATGTTGATGCTAACACATTGTAGAATGTCAGTATTTTTCTTCTTGGTACATGGTGTAGAATTTTAGGTTCTATATTAATATCCTACCCCAGATGACGTCACAGGACAGTCCAACATTTTAGAGGGTGGTAAGACTGGGTTTCCCGACTTTCTGATGCTTTTAACAACCCCTAACCATCTAGAACTGGCCCTAACCCCAACCCACCTATGTCCCACGAGAGAGTGCAGCCTAGGTTCCACAACTGCATGCAGCTTATCTACCACCCCCTGAAATATTAGACTGTCCCGTGACATGTTGATTTCCCTTGTTTTGGGTAGGATATAAATAAAGCACCAAATTTCAGCTCCAGTTTCTAAAGGATTTCTGTAATGATTGTGAAATAGGCCACAACTCACATTCATATGTTGCTGCAGGAAAAGATGCATGCTCTCAAAATTGTGGCTTTTAGTTTCCTTGCTTTAGCTTAGCCATAGGCTTTTAATGTAGCTTAGTTCGTTGCAGAACCAACCCCAGCATTTTTGGGCTGTTGTGTGTTTTCTAGGCAAGTTTATGTCCAGTAGTTTGCCATTGCTTTCTGAAAGGTCGGCTTCTTGATACCGCTGTCTAATCCAGCGAGGATTGAACCCGTCACCCTGGCATTACAGAGCGCGTTCGCAATGCCTAAGCTAAAAACGCCGGCGGACTTTCATTAAAAAAAAACACGTACACACAGAGTAAACATAAACAATATTTAAAAACCTGTGTAGAACTTGAAAATACAAGTGAAAATCTCATTAATCTATGAAGCATTGGTAATCCTGTGTGTCCACAGCTTTCTGTCTTGTGTACTCTGTCATTTCTGGTACAGATGTGCTGTTTGCAGTGTTGCTAGGCGGTCAAGTCTTTTTTATTGCTCTTGGTTTCTCTTCCCCTCTTGTTTTTCCCGCCACATTTCTGATGTATCTCATCTCACCTGTTGTAATTTTGCATTTGGTTTTCTAGGACTAACCATTTCTGACATTGGTGCCAGTAGCACATTTATTAGCTGCTAGGATATGCATAAATGGCTTTAACTTTGTTATTTATGTTTGCTGCTCACTAGTTTTGATTGCTGGTACTATTACTGTAAAGTTCCTATTTGTGCTTGTCCATTTATGAAAACATTAGTTGTCAGATTTGTTTAGCGTCCTTTTCATGCTTGATACATACCATGTGCATTTTTATTAAAGAAAATCATGTTGAGTAAATTGCCATGTTTTTGTCTGTACACTTGATATGAGGCTACGTAACAAATGTGAGGACAGCCAGTCACAAACATTAGGAGGCAGATATTTATTTGGACAGATTGTGAGAAGAAAAACATATGGAACTTGCTGGGAGGGGTTGGGAATGTGGCCTAGTCCATGTTGTTTGCTTGCTTGCTTCCCACCAGGACATCACACAAGCGATAAACACCCGGTGACACAAAGTGCCACCATGCGGATGAGGATTACCCGTGGAGAGGTCCCAGAAGCTCCTTTCAGCTGCTACGGCTACATAGGTGACCCGGGAATATTCAGGGCCCCCGGAAAAAGCCAGGGTGGGACTTCAAACAACGAAAAATTGCATGTCACATGAGGACGACTGTTCTCTCAGTATCTAGTCCATGTCCCACAGCACAGCTTTTATATTTCCGCCTGTCAGCTTGCTCATTTCCGTGTACACATGCATTCCCTGACATGAAAATGAAACTGATCTTTCTGTGCCGTGACCGCCTCGGAGACACCAACCACTGTCTTCAGATGCAGCCACTCTTTAGCTTCCTGAGCGTACTCAATAGTCAAAAAACCCGCCAGCCATTTAATTGCTTTAGTCGCCGTAACTTCCATAGTAAGGCTACTCTTAACTTTAACTTGTAGTCAAAGTAAAAGCACCAGTCTCTAATGCAAAAGCACCAGCCCCCAAGGCAAAAGCACCAGTCCCCAAGGCAAAAGTACTGGTTCCCAAGGCAAAAGCACTGGTCTCTAATGCAAAAACACCAGTCCCCAAGACAAAAGCACCAGTCCCCAAGACAAAAACACCAGTCCCCAAGACAAAAGCTCCAGTCCCCAAGGCAAAAACACCAGTCCCCAAGACAAAAGCACCAGTCCCCAAGGCAAAAGCACCAGTCCCCAAGGCAAAAACACCAGTTCCCAAGGCAAAAACACCGGTCCCTAAGACAAAAGCACCAGTCCCCAAGACAAAAGCACCAGTCCCCAAGACAAAAGCTACTCAAGTGTTGAAGGACAGACCCATCTGTGTAAATGACATAATCACTAGGGCTGTACCGAATAGTGATTTTCACTATTCGGCCGAATACAAATAACGAGACCAACTATTCGGCCACATACGAATAGTGTATGGTGTATGAAATATATAACACATTCATAATGTCAAATGTACGCTGAACTTTTACTTCACATAAAGTAGCACAGAATAGTCATCTTCTTTAGAATTCTAAGCCCTTGAGGTTTACTGCTGCAGATATCACTTGTCTCCATTCATCTCTTGCTGGCCTTCTCTTCACAATTTGTGACACCAGTTGTTTGCAGGTCTGGCTGGACATTATGTCTTGATCTTCTTTTTTGTCTGCCTCGTGGTCTACGCCCATTTCTCTCTCATGTGTATACAGTTTTACTTCTCTGTCTTCTGACATTCTTTCAATATGCCCCAACCATATTAGTCTGTTAGCTCTCATGATGCCAGTGATCAATGACGATTTAAACAGATTATGTGTTACGTTGTTGCTTCTCACTCTCCATTTCTCGTTGTTAGCATCTTTGATGGGTCCAAAGATTTGTCGTAAGACTGTTTTTGAAAACCTTTAATAAGGCTTCATCTCTTTTAGTTGTGCTCCACGTTTCAGAGCCGTATAAAACGACTGGTCTTATCAAAGTTTTATATATTTTTATCTTGGTGTTGGGAAACAGGCGGTTTAACTTTAGCAGATGTTGAAGGGCATTGTATACTTTATTTCTAGATTGTTTTTCTTCTCTGAGCATGTTGGAGCAGTTAAAGTTTGCACTCAAGTACTTATATGTTTCCGTTCGTTTGATTTTCATATTATCGACTTGGATGTGGCCGGAGTTTATATTCTTTCCATGTCTAGTTAGTATTCGTACAGAATAGTAAACATTTAAAAACATTTTATGTTTTGCATCCTTCAGTCAGTTTGTGGTAACCAGTAACTAGGAATGAAAGAATCCCAAGTACTATAACAAGTAACTAAACTTGGAAATTGTCACTGACAACTTAGTTAATGTAGGAAAGCTGCATTAGCTTTCAACAAAACCAATCGTCCCATGTTGGTCAGCATTAAGGCCGTGTATGCAGAAGCAGGTGTAAGGTAACTTCTTTTCGTATTCGGCCCGACCACAACTAATCGGCCGAATACCGAATAGTCAATAGGTCCACTATTCGGCTACGAAACGAATATGAAGCGAATATTCGCTACAGCCCAAATAATCACCATCTCAAGAATTCTCATACAATCAGACCAAATGTTAACGTATAAAAAGGTAACATTACCTGCTTTACATTATGAGGATAATATGATTATCTTCTGCTTCTTCTTCGCGTTCACCAGCTGTACACTCTGGCAGAAAGTTCTGGTTGTTCGTTCACTTCTGAACTGCAGCTCTGCCCCAGAACTTGAGTGTTGCATGTGCATCAGTTTTACAGATCTGATTCACTTGAATGCAGACGGTTGGTTCCTTGCCTCAGGCAGATGCACTCCGACTTCAAAGGAAGCTCCCTAATTAGTCAACTCTTACAACATGCTTTTGGGTAGGCATTGGGCATTTTCTTGTTTTCCCCACAATGCGACCCCTGGAACCTACACGGGGATAATATGATTATATTTCTGACATTAACTAGGGAGATATTGCTGAAAGATGATTACATGAAATTTGTTCAATTATAATTTAATAAAGGATTTAATGTTAAAATATATATTCCTTACGTCCTTCTTAGGACGTTATTTTTTGTTATTTGAAGCCCCACTCTGGCTTTTGCCAGGGGCCGCAATATAGGCAGGTCATCATTATGGCCAAATGTCTGAACGCGGTTTCTGGGACCTCTCCACGGTGATCCTCATCCGCATGGTGGCACTTTGTGTCATCGGGTGTTTATCGCTTGTGTGATGTCCTGGTGGGGTAAAAAGCCAATCCAGCCAGCCAATGTTAAAATTAACTATCTGAATAATTATGTAAAAAATATTAATGTTGTACAGAGACTTACATGAAATTGACAATGATATAACCAACTCTGGGTTCTAGTCTAATGAATATAATTTTAAGACTATAAATAATCAACGATCGGTTTAATTGTTTTGTTGATATCAATACTTATATATTATATATTATATTATACTTATTATATTATATTATACTTAAAATCATCGATCTTACCAACGAGTCGAAAGACATCAAACTAAAGGATATTGTTCTTGAAAAAATCACCAGCTTCACATACTTAGGGAGCAAGATAACCTCTGCGGGAGATACAACATCAGAAATAACGACTCGAATCGCGTTAGCATCAAGTGCCTTTAACAAACTGTCAAACATTTGGAAGTCAAGATCACTCAGCAACAACACGAAACTTAAGGTCTTCAATTCCTGTGTGATCCCAGTGCTAACTTATGGTTGTGAGAGTTGGAAATCATCAGTATCAATCGATAAGAAACTAGTCGCTTTCGAGAATAGATGCCTCCGAAAGCTATTGAATGTTCACTGGTCGGACTTTAGGTCAAATACATCTATAAGACATGAAACAAAACAAAAATATGTGTCTGATTTTATTAGAATGCGTCGCTGGAATTACATCGGTCACGTACTCAGAATGGACATACAGAGACTTCCCCACCAAGCCTTCATATGGTCACCAGAGGGTAAAAGAAAACAGGGAACACCAAAAGAAACTCTCCGTAGAACCATCACAAGGGAGAGCTCAACCATAGGTCTCTGTCGCACTCAAGACCTACATCAAGTGGCAACGAACCGACAGACGTGGAAAGCTATGACCTCTGCCCTATGCGCCATCTTTGGCACAAGAGGAATAACTAACTAACTAACTAACTAATACTTATATCTTGATTAATGTATAATGTTAAAAATAATATTGACACAGATTTTGTTATGAAATTAACTATATTTACCTAAATAATAATATTCTAATGAATATAAAAACTTGACCTCAACCTTGATTTGGTTATAATTAACTGATGAATATAATAAATTATTTGACAATGAGGCCAGTAGTAACCTTTTGTTTAACTATAATCATTCAAAGAATAAATGTCTCCTAAAAACTGGACAATTAAAAACTGTTGTATTTAATTATAATTAACGAGGAATAAATGACATTTTTAACAATAGGACAAATAATTAATGCTCTGATCTGGTGTCATTTGTAGAGTAATAAAGTTTTATAATGAAGCAGCCCTTTTGAGTGATCTAACGGTAACCCACGGCCTACTCTATTTATTAAAGAACGCATTGGACAACCCCACGAGGACTACAATGCAAAGAGCGACCAACACACAGTGACACAATAATAATTGATTTGTTCCCTTTTCAAATCTAAAATACAACAATAAGCTCTATAATTAGCTCTTGGTTTAATTTTAATATTAGAAATAATATTGACAATGAGTTAAATCATTCTGTTGATATTATTAGCTGTCAAAGTATCAGAGGATTAAAATAAACTATGTTAGAAGCTATCAATTGTTTGGATTTGGTAATTTTAGTAATAACTTTGAACCTAGATATAGTTTTTAATATCAATAATACTATTCAAAATCAACAGGTTGCTAAAAAATGCGAATCAAATCCCTGATTTCATTTAGAATTTTTTTTTTCGATCCTTCAATTATAATGTTAACAAGATCAAAACCCAAAAATAGACGAAGAACCAGAACTTTACATGGACTAGGCTACCTTCCCAACCACTCGCCCACCCCGAACAATCTTCACCTCTCACTGGAGTTCACCGCTGATGAAAATTACATAGATTACCTTTTTCTTGTGTCCTCTGTTACCAGTTTGTAGCCTTGTGACAAGGGGCTGCGTTAACGCAGTCGATAGGAGACTCGCTTTCCAATCCAGCTACGACTAGCTGCAGCCCACGGACGGTGTTCGAAATAGGGGTTCCCGGGGTTCACCCAGCCTCTCGGTAATGGGTACCAGAGTTAACGCTCTGGAGTAAATGGAAGAACGTCGCCATAGCTACGGAGTTGCGTGCGGACGGCGACACAGGCGGACGGTTTCTTATGAGCTGTCCGTACTGGTGGCAGAGCACTTGTGGTTTATAACCGTGTGCAATGAATGACACTGGTTCACATCTCCTGACTTAACCTTAAGCCCAGTGCCGTGGTTTTCTGTATTTGTCTTACACTTCTGGAGCGATGAATTTGCCCCCCTCTCCACCTGCCGCCCTTTTTCCTCCTGTAAATAAACAGAGAGGGGAACCATTTGAAGCCGTTAAATATTATGAATTAATCAAGTAACAGAAAGTATTGTGAACGGCACTCATAGAAAGAAGTAGAAAGATAGAAGAACACACTAGACAACATAAAAATCGAAAGCTATAGTTACCGTGCCGGGAATTGAACCTGTCACCTCCAGACGGCGTCTGCGCCTCGCCATGAATACAAGTGCACTAAGATACATGGTCAACTCGGCACCCCCAAAAAAAGGTGTCTCATTGGCCATGTCTATCGTACAGCTTGAAATCCACGACTATGGAATACGGACAGAATTCATTTCAACCCATTGAAATGGCACCATAGGTTACAGAAATTTATATTAACGAGGCAAATGTCAAATAACAATCACAGCAACAATACATCGATCTCTTCCTTTCTTACTTCGACTTCCTCCAGCCTTCGGCTCAGATGTTTTTCACTATAATTTAGTCAGGCTGTTTGTTTACTGCATGACAAGCAACTGCTTTCTCCCTCTTTCACTGTATTGAGACAATAAAAACTCACATCTTTAATGTGTCGTTGGGATACATTTTTTTTACCTATAGGAGAAAACGTACACATATGCACATATATGAGGATATGAAATTTCAACATTGTTTCTAACGTTTGTATATCATATTAACAAAATCTAGAAATACTGTCTTGGGTACTACAGAGTCCATAGAGTAAATTAAATGAATACAGTCTTGATAGCTGTTCTCTTCACACTGTTTATAGATATCTTCAAGATTCAGCTCTTGTAGATGACTTTAACCTTCTCCACTGATTCCGGGTCCCATCTTGCGTAGTTCGCCTGACAACAGAAGCACCAGTCAAATAACGAGTCTAATTATACATCTGTTCTAAATGAAACCCGAAATTAAATGCTTTGAATATCGCTAGGGCTAACATAATTAGTTAAAGACCCTTTCTACCCTTTTGGAGCTTCCGAAATATATATAGTACTATACTTTTTTGTTTGTTGTTGAGGGAGTAGTCGTGGTCTAGCGGTAAGATAACCGCCTGTGCATCCGAAGGTCGTGGGTTGAAATCCAAATTTTTTAATAAATGACCTCAGCTTTCTGGTCAGCCCAGTTTTAAATAGGTACGAGCTTAAAGACCTAAAGAGGTAAAGGCTCATATTATCCCCCGTAGGGCCGATTGGTCTATGAAATAAAGGTCTAGTACTTTATACCCAAAACGTCTAAAGGTGTGGGAAAATGTTCTTCACATCAATCGGCATCCATGTGGTCATCATCACGCTAGCGCCTTTATTTTCCATGACATTTCTGAGAACCTATTTTAGGCTAGGTCAACGTGGGAGACAAAGTCAATTTTGAAAGAGAAAATATAAACTGCCTTGTTGCGGATTTAAACTCTAGACATTCGGGCTTGCTTTTTAGATTTAAAAATGCATATTTGAGGGAAAAGTCCTGTTAGTCGACTAGTTGGGAGATTTCTTTGAAGTCAGAATGCATCTACCCGAGTAGCAAAGAACAAACATTCTTCCTTTTATGTAAAACAAAACAAAAAATCGACCACGTTCAACCTACTGGAGCAGTATCGGTTACAAAGAAGAACCAGCTGGCTGCCCACAAATAAGCCAGTAAAACGGATGTACTAGCAAAACTCTGGCCCTGACACAAAAAGAAGAAAATCCCATTTGGAAGATATTCCTGAGGCCGTACTTGTGAGGAATATTTCTCCATATTATCTGTGCCTGGCGACTTGGCTTCACCGTCTTTACAGTGGAGTTCTTTCACTGTTTGCTTCCTCAGCCCATGACCAATAGGTGTAGAACTATACGCGTTGAATGCGTGGAAACAGGATCTTTACTTTTACTGATCTAAACATATTCAAAGAAAAGAACAGGATTTACTGGCACTTCTTAAGTCGATTCTTGTATCCTATTCCATTATCACATTAGTAAACGTAAACGTTCCCATTTGTTACTGTAGTTCACTGTGTCACACAGTGTTGGGAGGTGAACTTCATAGTACAAGTCTGGCAGTTTCTAGGTAGCTAGGATATACTAGTTGGATTAACCATGGGAGGGTGATTATGATCCACCCAGTATCTGTACCCAATAATAAGCAAGTCACGTAACTGCATTTTGTTCTTAGCTCATTCAACACTAAGCAGTTGAGGGCCATGCATTTGTAGTTTCTGAAAATAATGCGAGGAATTGTGACGGAAAAGCTTAGCAGAATGAAGAAGTAGAATAACGTGCACAAAACAACACAAAGTGTTGCAGTCACATCCATTTGATGTTTCTAGAGAGACACACACACACACACGCATGCAGGCATGCACGCACACACAAACACACACATATATGTATTCATTTTTTTATGCGTAATTTACTTGATCAACATAACAGATTTGCTGCAGTTTTTATTTTAACCTTTTCTTCTTTACAGTTACATTATTTTAACTGCTTTTGACCCAAACAGTTAGATAAGGTTAAAACGGTCCAGGAGAGTGTGAGTTAAATTTGTTCTGTATTGCACTGATTGTTAACTTTTACTCAATGTTATAATAACGAAGGGAATGAAAATTAACGAAGAAATCTACCTTAAGCGCCTCTTTCTGTTCATCTGAAGCAATCTCTAACGCTTTCACAATTAGCCAGCTACACTTGTTGTCCTGTATGTCAGTTCCCACTTTTCCTGTGATCTCGGGAGCTCCATAACAGTCGAGGTAATCATTCTGGGGACAGGACAGCATTTTATTACACCAATCCGTAGAAAGGCTCACACATTCCTGACGTCTATTATTATATATAAGATTAATATATAGCAATTATATAAACTGATAATTATTATGTAAATAATTATATTACCTATATAAACTTATCTTCTTCTTCTCTTCCACCTTGCACCTCATCGAAGTGTCGGGGGGAGATGTAATGTTCGTTGATGAGCTCTGTCAAGAGCACTATTAAGACTGATGTTCATTTCTGTAAGGTTGTTCTTAATGCAATCACTCCATATTTTCCGAGGTCTTCCACTCGCTCTATACCCGTTGTAACGTTTTAGTGTGGCTAGTTGTGGCAGATAGTACCAGGGCATTCTTGTTAGGTGTCAAAACCACTTCATTTGTTGTTCTTTGATGCATTAATTTTTGAATAACTAACTTTGAGGCGGTCTGCTGTAAGATCGCCTCCAGATGACCTTTAATTCAGATACACCTAAAGTAAAAAACTGCATTAATAATACATTGACCTGAAAAAAAAAAAAAAAAAAAAAAAAAAGAACAGAGAAGAAGCACGGACGGGTTATTCACACAGCAGATATTCAGAATCACTTACTTGGATTTGATAGAAATGGCCCATTTGTAATAAAACTGGCATTACTTGTGCGTGTGATTCATCGTCCGAGATCCCAGCCTGAAATTAAATGACACACATGTGAAAATGAATAAAATGTTATCCGCAATCCGGTCTGGCGAGCCGCCACAACCAAAATATTGGGGTTGCAACCCCCCCCCCCCCCCACAAAATCAACAAGGGGGGGGGGGCAGGGGGCGGACTCCAAGTTGGGGAGGGGGAGGGGGTATGCTCAAGGAACCAGAACCTGGGGACTTGTAACTTCGGTTATATTTAAACTGTTGTTGGATGCACAATCTCATCAACTGGGAACATTTATTTACAGTTTTGCCTGATTCTCATTTGCGAGTATTAAAACTTTTTTTTTGGGTCATTAGATGACATTTCTTGAAATTCCTTGGAGACTTCGCTTGCCTTTCGGGTCGAGGGTTTTGTGTTAGAATCTGCAGCCGTCCTAATACTACCAGCACATGACCTGCTTCATTAGTATTTTAGTTCTCAGCGTTGAACAGCTGTAAACTTTGGCAAACAATTCTGGTTGTTTGTCTAATTCGGGACTAGCTTTTTCTGAGAACGAGGTTTCTGTTTATATCCATTTTACAAATATGCCTTGCTTTTATGCAGACTGTTGGTTTCGCGTCTCTCAGGCAGATGCACTTCGACTTGGAAGGCGTAAAATATACGAGTGTCTCTACAATAAAACTTTGTTTAATTTATGTAATAAATCTACTGTTTTCGTGGATTACTTTTTCTAGTTCAAATCACCCAAATAACACTTAACTTCCATATGAGTCATTACTGAAGCTCACTGTGCGTGGAGTCACCTTTATTTTCGTTCCAGGATACGCAGGCGTCGATGGGAATGAAAGAGCTGATAGTTTGGCTGGATCTGATATCACTTGACGGTTAGCCTATGGATCATGCTGAAATTTTTAATGCCCTCTGAGAATTGGGAAAGGTGGAGTACTTTGGGAGCACTGAAAACACAACACTCGCCAGAATGACAGACTTGGGAGTTAACATCGACATAACAAAAAACGAGACGCACAACTGGCACATCAGAGGACTTGTTAATCAACATAGAACTGTTGCTATTAGCCACTGAACGCCCTGGTTCATACTGAGGGGAGGATCTGAGCGCCTATGGACCTGTCCATCGCAATGATGATATCCCAGCTAACTAACTAACTAACTAACTAACTAACTAACTAACTAACTAACTAACTAACTAACTAACTAACTAACTAACTAACTAACTAACTAACTAACTAACTAACTAACTAACTAACTAACTAACTAACTAACTAACTAACTAACTAACTAACTAACTAACTAACTAACTGACTGACTGACTGACTAACTAACTTACTAACTAACTAACTGACTGACTGACTGACTGACTGACTGACTGACTGACTGACTGACTGACTGACTGACTGACTGACTGACTGACTGACTGACTGAGTGAGTGACTGATTGACTGACTAACTAACTAATTATTGAACTAACTAACTTACTAATGAACTAACTAACTAACTAAACTAACTAACTAACTAACTAACTAACTAACTAACTAACTAACTAACTAACTAACTAACTAACTAACTAACTAACTAACTAACTAACTAACTAACTAACTAACTAACTAACTAACTAACTAACTAACCAACCAACCAACCAACCAACCAACCAACCAACCAACCAACCAACCAACCAACCAACCAACCAACCAACCAACCAACCAACCAACCAACCAACCAACCAACCAACCAACCAACCAACCAACCAACCAACCAACCAACCAACCAACCAACCAACCAACCAACCAACCAACCAACCAACCAACCAACCAACCAACCAACCAACCAACCAACCAACCAACCAACCAACCAACCAACCAACCAACTAACTAACTAACTAACTAACTAACTAACTAACTAACTAACTAACTAACTAACTAACTAACTAACTAACTAACTAACTAACTAACTAACTAACTAACTAACTAACTAACTAACTAACTAACTAACTAACTAACTAACTAACTAACTAACTAACTAACTAACTAACTAACTAACTAACTAAACTAACTTCCATACTAAACTCTGTGTCTACCTACCATGTGCATAGCAACAGCCACGGGAAGATAGAATGAATGGAAACCTGTCTTCCACTTGACGATGGCACTGTACCTCTCCATTGTGAACTTGGAGAAATCAACCTCTCCGGATGCACCCGTTATCAGATCCAAGCACTGACCTGTTACCGTCTGACATGTCGTCTGGATAAAGAAAACACAATTCACTCACAAATAAACTTGTCTAACAAACAGTTAGGTAGTTCCATGTCCTATACAGCAGAGCTGTCCATACTGGATGTCGCGATACATTAGTGTGTCGGCTGCAGTGTGAAGGTGTGTCGTATTAGCGTAAAGCATTAAACAGAATAATCTGCACTCGAATACAAAACCTTACATCACTGGTTTGCTAGTAGACTAAACTACTGTTGCTACATGTCCATAACTGACTGAGCCAGGACGTGTCCATAACTGACTGAGCCAGGACGTGTCCATAACTGACTGAGCCAGGACGTGTCCATAACTGATTGAGCTAGGACGTGTCCATAACTGATTGAGCTAGGACATGTCTATAACTGAAGGATCCAAGACGTGTCCATGATTGATGAAGCTAGGACGTGTCCATAACTGACTGAGCCAAGTCGTATCCCTAACTGACGGAGCCAGGACGTGTCCATAACTGACAGAGCCAGGATGTGTCCATAACTAACAGAGCCAGGACGTGTCCCTAACTGTCGGAGCCAGGACGTGTCCATAACTGATTAAGTCAGGACGAGTCCATAACTGATGGAGCCAGGATGTATCCATAACTAACGAAGCCAGGATGTATCCATAATTGACGGAGCCAGGACGTGTCCATAACTGATGGAGCCAGGACGTGTCCATAACTGACTGAGCAAGGATGTGTAAAAAAACTGATGGAGCCAGGACGTGTCCATAACTGATGGAGCCAGGACGTGTCCATAACTGATGGAGCCAGGACGTGTCCATAACTGACTGAGCAAGGATGTGTAAAAAAACTGATGGAGCCAGGACGTGTCCATAACTGATGGAGCCAGGATGTGTCCATAACTGACAGAGCCAGGACGTGTCAACTGCTTATGGGGCAAAAAAGGGAATTTACTTTTGGAAGCAGATTTATCGTATACTGGTCTATTCTAAAGCAAATAAGAACAAATAATAAAACAGTAATTAATTCTCTCATATTTGACCAAACTACTCTATTTGGAGAGCCGCTGTAGTGTAGCGGCTAGATGCTTGCCTACAGGATCAGAAGTATTAGTGTGATAGGCTGGAAAGCGACAAAGACTACTGTTCAGCAGCTCAAAGATCTTGATTTAGTCTGGTTTAAAAATGAACAAGAGGCCACAGGAACTGCCTTTACTTTTAGACAGTAAAATGGAGAAAAGTTTGGCCACTGGGTATAAAAAGGCCAACTGACTCAGTATTTGCCTCCTATTTGACTTCCGGACGCACCCTGTGGAGACCTGCCCGGTTGTTTTAGCTCTGCACTTGGGGCCCGCCAGCATGGGTGTGGACGACTACAGAGGAAGCCCGGTTGTCAAGCTGATTTCGCAGGCCATGGTACGTTTCCACATTTAGTCCTGAAATAGTAGTCTCTAGTAGTTATACTGTGTAATATGTCGCGACGTATTCTCGCTAGGATGGCAGGTAGCTATATGTGATTTGTTCGTCTGGTAGCATATTGAAGCTTTACTTTACTCACTTAGCTTTACTCTGTTGGAAAAAAAAAAAACGAAATTAATGAAATTGTACCTGCAGAAACAGTTCCAGAATCGATAAGTAGTAAGGCTTGTCTCTGATGTATTTCTTCAGCAGACTGTAGACGGTGCATTCCAGAAACGATGCGTCATTCACAGCTGTCAGTCCAACTTCCTCCTGGGGGGACAGTGACGGTTTAACCCCGTGAGCACCAAACAAAGTATACTACTAAAGTTGTGAGTGATCCTTTTCACGTCGGGCCGACTCGGGTATGGGACACTAGACTGATATTTTTGTAGACCAATCAATAGGGGAGATGGTCGCCATCGTATCGGCGTTTTTACTTGCCAGATTTACCCGGTACCAGAGTGGCTGCGTGGTCTCTAGGTATGATGTCCGCCTCGAGTGCTAGAGGTTCCGGGTTCAAGACCCGGTAAGGGCTAGGAGTTTTTCACGTGGACTCCGTGGTCTCCGGGCAGTGAGATCGGACGCCCGTGTGCATTGTTGCGCACGTAAATAAAAATCCCTTGCCAGTTGGAAATCGAAAAGAGTAGCCTAACGGCGCTGCCCGGGTTAAATTTGGAGTTAAAAATCTACCCAAAGGATTTCAGGATCCTAGCCGGTGCTACAGAGCTTCTCCGGGGTAACCCATAAGTGCTCCTTTCTACTTCTAACTCAAGCCTGCGTCTGAAGAATCTCAGTGTAGTGCACGAACTCCGTTGCACTGATGAAGATCCTGAAGTACTTTTTGAAGCATCACCCCGGATGTGGTCAGGGGCCATAACCAAAATATTACCCTAAGGGTTGAACGGCGTTTCTGGAACTCAGTCCCCTGGTGATTCTCATCCGAATGGTGGCACTTTGTATCACCTGGTGTTTATCTTTCGGTGCGATCTTCTGGTGGGGTTAAAGATCAGTCAGGCAATCGGTGCTAATTTTAGGCTTGATCCACTTGGAAGCCAATGTCATTTCTTAAGCAAATCTGACTTGGTGCGGATTTGAACCCACGACCGGACCTGAGACGAGTGTCTAGCCGCTTCACCACAGCAGCACTAGCACAGTGTGTGATTCGATGTTATATTTAAGCACACCAGTATTTCCTAAACAAATATAGGTATATTTTACCCTTTATATATATATATATATATATATATAAAAACATAATTGTTTACTTAAGACAGCTTTTTTACTTACTTAAGGATAGATGTTAAAAAAAGTTGAAAGTGAAAGTCGAAAGGATCGTAATTTCTGCATCGGGTTGTATCCCATATGGCTCGGTCTCTCTTCGCAGATTAGCTAGCCTCGTGTTGAGAGCGTTGCACAGAGCACGAACTCTGTAGCTTCTGTGACGATTTCACTTAAATTTGACAATTGGGAGTCTGCTCCGTTCAAAAAAGGATTGCAGCCTCTCCTTGGAAGTTATAAGTTTTGAATCATTTTTTGTGTGTTACAATTATGGTACGTAATGTAGATTTATCTACAAATATTAGGTTTTTTAAATATTTGTGAATGGCATATTTGACTTAAAAAAAAAAAAAAAAATAAAAAAAAAAAAATAAAAAAAACTTAAAAAAAAAAAAAAAAAAAAAAAAAAACACACATTGTGAACAAGCATGTCCTCATAACATATTGAAGGGATACTGATTTCTGAGTGGGATAGTAAAAAAGCTCTTTGCCCTGACTTAGTCTTTGTGTGTGCGTGTGCGCGCGCCCGTAGATTATTCCTCGGACTTTCAGAACCGTAGCCTATTAAAATCAACAGCTAATCCATAGTTCTGACGTGAGAGCATCACACATTATTATTCCACTTTTATATGTTTGCATGATGTGTTAAAGTTTTTCTTGGAAAATGATTCATACGTTTTCTTGACAATAATTTTTTTCTTCTTAAAGTCTTCTTTGAGTAGATTGTTAAGGAGGCCTCTTATATTTTTTTAGACTAAATATCGAATTTGCATTATCTACGAAATCCTTGGGGTTCAAAGACATCAGTATTCAAATTTCTTTTGGGGTTAAACTAGAGTTTTCCTTATTACTCCGTGTATTATTGTTAAACCACAAGTTTTACCCTTGTATTTGTTTCAGAAGTTCGTTTTTGCAGCTTTAACCCATGCGACGGGGTGTATTTCATAACAGGCTTACCTGCTCCAGTTCAGACTAGCTTTCTTGTTTTCCACTCTTTTTTAAATTTTTATTACATAGTCTATGCATGCCTTTTAATTTCTTCTCCTCCAAGTTCCGCTATGCTGTGGCGTATATTGGTTTACCCTTTTTTCTCCTCCTAACGTGATTAACGTGACTAAAGAATGCAGAATGAATGATCTGATACAGCCAATCAGTTCTCTTAGTGAGTTTATGTTTCTCAAGACATCTTTATTGTGTTTGTAATCTGTCTACGGTGTTCGCTTGTGAAACTTGATTTTCGCACCTTCGCATAATATTTTCCCCAATTGATCGATGGTCGATGATTCAATTCAGAGCATTTTATCAATCGTCCGTCATTAATTTCTCTTCTCCCATTAAGAGGAAGAATTTACGATCCATTACTCGATTGGCAGCAAGGGCTATTGTCATTCTGTGTCGACTCAAAAGCTCTTTAATGTCATCATTCCATGTTCTCGTTGGGCGATCTCTTGCTTTCAAATAAGATCCTTTGACATGTAACGCGTGCGCGGGTGGTTGTTCTGGCCGCATCTTTACTAGATGCATTGTGTTGTTTCCAGAAGTTGTTTGATAACAGCATTTCTAACATTGTCTCGGATGGGTAAGTTAGCGACTTATTTCGAGTATGTTATTTCAGGGGGTGTTAAACTGATCTAAGTTACCCTTTTTATATAATTCCCAGGACATTATTAATTGATGTACATTTTGTAGTAATACGTCTGATAAATCGGAATATGCCAGCAAATACATTTGTCACTGTACTCATTTTTAGAATATACAGTGGAAACACAAGGTTTTTGAGTTTATAAAAGAAAAAAAAAAGTGTTCCTCAGTTGCTTTTGGATACCGACCTTTTTATACCAACATGGCCGCCCTCTGCGGGTCACTGAGTTGTCCTCGACATCGTCCATAATCAAGGAACATGCCTGCAGCTGTTTTGTGTTCCATGTTTGCAGAATAAAGACATTGATAGTTTTTACAAACAGTAATAACTAACACAATAATCAGTAACAGTCAAATTATTTGAACAAATCAGCAGTTATGATAAGGATTAGCTATGAATAGTTACAGTATCCGGTGTTTTGGGGTTTACTTTTAATCTGAGATTTTTACGTCTGCATGTTTCTAATTTCATCTTGAATGTGCAGGTCCCATATTTTTGAGAGTGGTGTGTGTGTGTGTGTGAGTGTGTGTGTGTGTGTGTGGGGGGGGGGGTCGGTGGGTCAGGTGGGTGGTAGGTAGGAAGAATAAACCCACGGCCCCGTAACATCATCATCATGTAGCAGGTCCTTTGCAGAACGTCGCCAGTTCTCCGGCTACGTGTATCTCTATATTCAAGGAGTCACCTATGTCCTGCTCATATTTTCGTGTTGATGGGCCCCTGTCCTTCCTTCCTGGTATTTGGCTTCTGCTATTATCTGTCGTTAAATCCGCCGTAATAAGTAAATTGCAAAAGGTTACTCATTGTGAAAATGTCCATATAAAGCGGAGGATTTAATTTATATCTGAGATTTTTATGTCTGCTCGTGTGCAAGAGTTCAGTTCCTACCTCAGACGTATATGTCTGATTGTTTGCAAGGGCTAATTTTCATCAGAGACCTTTAATTAGAAGGGCAAAGGTCTCGCCACTCCGCTACCATGGATTCTAGAACATAACATATCTCTTACCAGTTCTATACACCATCCCAGGACGCGAGCAATTTTCATATCTGCTTCTGAAGCCTGCGGCACCAAATGCTTGTACGATGTCACAACGGAAACTCCACTTGTTTTCTCTCCAAAGGGTACATTATAATGTAAAACCTGACGAGGAGAACATTTCTTGATAATGTAACTACACATCTTTTTAATAAGCAATCATTGGTGAACTATGCTGGCAGGGACTATGTTCCTGGCAGGGTTACCCAAGCCAGACAGGTCACTGGTGAGAGTCAAGACTAAAGATGGCCTTCCGGTCTACCAGGGACGGGAGTTGGACGCAATGTTGACAGCTCTGCCCTGTAAAAATCTACACCGTTACTGAAACTTCAAAAGGAAATAAGTGCTCCAAACATCCGGTGGTCTTGGAACAGAGTCCTTCTGTCAGCATGAACAACATGGGTGAAAGCCGAAAGTAAATCCATGATGGGAAAACAAGTTTACTGGACGTCAAAACCAAATTAAGAATTGGTTTCTGGAATTTACGAACGATGGCAAGTAAGCTGAGTGCCGCATATCTGACATGGAAAACTGCACTGAAGATTGTACAGGACAGGAAGGCATGGAAAGTCCTATATAAAGCCTTATGTGCCATTAGACATTAGTTGCCTTTTTAAGGTTGTTTTTGATAGTACTATACAGCTGAGGTTGAACTAAGTCTTCATCTTTCGAGCAGAAGAGCACATAAGAAACAGTGAAACTGATAACCTCATAATATTCACTGATGGACCCAAAAATGAGAAAGAAGAAGTAGGAGCTGGAATTCTTCATTATAAAATACATAAATCTTGTACAATCACAGATCATACATCAGTTTCCACAGCCGAACTAGTCGGAAAAATGAATGATTTGGGGATAGCTGCAGAAAATAGTCCCTTGACACTGAAGATAAAGACAGATCCTCTTTCTTCGGTACAATCACTAGGAAACTATAAACAGGGGAGTAGGTCAGACAGTAAAGAGGATATATTAACACTAACCACACAATGGAGTGGCAGGCATAAAAAAAGGGTCCAGCAACCATAATAGAAAACACGACTAAGAAAAAGTCAGGGGAAAAGTCGCATCAAACTGTGTGTGACAGGAATGTGGAAGAGACAGTAGCGAAAAATGAGTGCCACAGGCAGAGGAGCGTGTCAATATTTGAGAGAACCCGCCCTGATATTAAAAGTCTCACACAGCCTAAAAATTCCAGTAGATTATGGAGATTAAGACTTGGAAACTGAAAAGCCAAATTCACAGCACCCTTATGCCTAAATAGCTTTCAAGAAAACACAATAGACCATTTCCTTCTAGCATGCACCTTTTATATATCATCATCATCATGTAGCAGGTCATTTGCAGAACGTCGCTCTCATCATGGAATGCCTGAAAAAAACCTCGGTCGCTCGCCAGCTCTTCCGCCTCATGTACTCGAGGAGTTACTTATATCCTGTGCCCATCTTCATGTTGGTCGGCCCCTGCCCCTCATTCCTAGGACCATGCCTTCTGCTATTAGTTTTTTCCAATCCGTCGTGGCGCTTGATATGACCAAAGCATTTCAGCTGCCGAGACAAGATGCTGTTTTTTAGCCAGTCTTCCTTGATGTTCAGATCTTTCAAAATATCAGGATTTCTCCACTTCTTTGTCCAAGGTATTATGAGAATCTTTCTATAGCATTTCAGCTCAAAAGCCCCTATTCTCTTTCTTAAGGACTTGGAGATAGTCCACGCTTCACATTCGTACGTTGCTACAGGGAAGATGCATGCTCTCAAAGTTATAATTTTGTGCTCGTTGCTGGTGCTTATATATTTACAGGAAAGAAAACCATTAAAGACTATTTTCAAAAATTAAATAAGTGATTGACATCCAAAGGATGCTTACACGTTGATATTAATGAGAAATTCATTTGCAGGACACGCACAAATATATAAGTCTGTATAGATAAAGATGTGATGAGACAGACGGTGAGGTGAGAAAAAGGATGTGAAAAAAATTTAAAATAAAAATAAAAGAGAAGGTATTAAATTGCATGAAACAACCTAAACTGGCCAAAACTGACTAACTATTCCCTTATAATAATGGATATTAGGAAAGGGTCACATATGCAAAACCCAAAATAAAACCCAAACTAGTAACCAATGCGCAATTATGACTAAATGGGCAAAGCTGTAGGGTATATAATATACAACACTAGTACCCATATAAGGCAGGGTAGACCTGCGAGCTAGGTTTTTTTTTTTTCACAAAAACATGTTCGGATCCGTCGGGATCTGAACCCTTGGCCTCCGATCCCAAGGCGAGCGTCTGGCCGCTACACCACGGTGACTCCTTTGTGTGTATGTGTGTATATACATATACATGTGCATGTATGCAAACATGTAAACATGCACTGCCACGTGGGCGTATAAATATATATATATATATGTGTGTAAATGTACATATATGTCTATGTGTATGTGTGTGTGTATATATATATATGGTGCATACACCCCCCTCCCCCAATAACCCTCACTGTGTACTAAAGAGCCTTTCAAGCCGCTTGTTATGGTGCAATTACTATTTCCTAGCCACCATACAGAGCACAAAGCAACCAGACCACAATTATAGCCAATACTACTTGCAGTAGGTTAAACGTGGGAGTCTCCCCCCCCCCCTCCCATAAATGGATGGATGGATGCTACTATTCTTCCTTGCAGTAGGTTAAACGTGGCAGTCTCCCCCCTCCCATAAATGGATGGATGGATGCTAGTATTCCTCCTTGCAGTAGGTTAAACGTCCTCCCATAAATGGATGGATGGATGCTAGTATTCCTCCTTGCAGTAGGTTAAACGTGGGAGTCTCCCCCCTCCCATAAATGGATGGATGGATGCTACTATTCTTCCTTGCAGTAGGTTAAACGTCCTCCCATAAATGGATGGATGGATGCTAGTATTCCTCCTTGCAGTAGGTTAAACGTGGCAGTCTCCCCCCTCCCATAAATGGATGGATGGATGCTAGTATTCTTCCCTGCATTTAAAACCCGTCAACTTTTATTTGAATTTCTGACTCTCCTGATGGAAAATTTCGTTGATCATTTCTTCATTTTGATACAATCTCAGCTTAACAAGGAACAATGAGTCACATTTGATACAATCTCAGCTTAACAAGGAACCATGAGTCATATTTGATACAATCTCAGCGTAACAAGCAACAATGAGTCATATTTGATACAATCTCAGCTTAACAAGGAACAATGAGTCATATTTGATACAATCTCAGCTTAACAACTAACAATTAGTCACATTTGATACAATCTCAGCTTAACAAGGAACAATGAGTCATATTTGATACAATCTCAGCTTAACAAGGAACAATGAGTCATATTTGATACAATCTCAGCTTAACAAGGAAAAATGAGTCACATTTGATACAATCTCAGCTTAACAAGGAACAATGAGTCACATTTGATACAATCTCAGCTTAACAAGGAACAATGAGTCACATTTGATATACTCAAAAACAAGTAACCAACAGTGAGTCACATTTGATACAATCACAACCTAATAACCAACAAGGAGTCATATTTGATACACTCACAACCTAAGAACCAACAATGAGTCGCATTTGATACAATCACAACTTAATAACCAACAATGAGTCACATTTGATACACTCACAAACTAGTACCCAACAATGAATCATATATGATATAATCACAGCCTAACAACAAACAGTAAGTCATATGTTAAACACTTACAAACTAGTAACCAACAATGAGCCATATACGATACACTCACAACCTAACTAACGAGAAAAAGTCATATTTGATACACTCACATCCTCACAACCAACAATGAGTGACATTTGATACACTTACCATCTAACTAATAACAATGAGTCATATATGATTTACCTCTTTGAACCAAATGAAAGCATCTGCTATTTCAGGATTCTTCATTTCATTCTTTGTCAAATCCCCAACAAGCTCCGGAAACAAGGCATCAAATTTGGCCAGTTCAGTTGATGATTTCGGCTTCGCTTCATTTACGTTTTGGGCCATTCTTGAAACAAAACCAGAAAATAAGAAACAAGCACATACACACGCGCGCGCACACACACACACAATTATGTGTATGTATGTGTGTGTATATATATATATATATATATATATATATATATATATATATATATATATATATATATATATATATATATATATCAGTAAAACGTTAAATCAATCTTATTGCAATTTTTGTTAATATTATTATTTTTTTAAAATTTAGGGCGACATTCTACATTCAACAACGATATTCTGAATTAAATACAATAACAAAGGGACTCGTGAAATGTATCCGGCGTGTGATGCTCGACCCATGTTTGTTTAAACCAACTGACACTTCGTGAGTGATTTGGTCACAACCACACAGGCCGATTTTACTTCCCAAGACATTACCTTGCACAATTTGTAGACTAGGTCTACTGGGGAACCAAGGTCAATTTTAAAGGAAAAATTCTGACTCGATGTAAATTCGAACTCACGACCATTATGTCGATAGGCTAGCATTTAGCAACTATACTACCACGACTACATGTAAATAATGCAAAAGACAATTTTTCCACCAGTTGTGCATAGGGTAGATGGTGCTATATCTATACTGTATAAGCTAATGTTGCCTCGACTGGTAATATGACAACTCTCTGACCCTTAATCACGGGAAACGTTCTGCCTTGTACGTGCGACTAGGTCGATGTCAGACTGAAAGATAATTAAAAGAATTTCTGGTAGTTGTGGATTCGAACCACAAAGCTTTGGGTCGAGAGTGAGCATTTAGCCACAGAGCTTTGGGTCGAGAGTGAGCATTTAGCCACAGAGCTTCAGATCGAGAACAAGCATTTAGCTTCTGAGCTTTGGGCCGAGAACAAGCATTTAGCCACAGAGCTTTGGGTCGAGAGCAAGCATTTAGCCACAAAGCTTCAGGTCGAGAACAAGCATTTAGCCACTGAACTCTGGATGAAGAGCAAGCATTTAGCCACCGAGCTTCAGGTCGAGAGTAAGCATTTAGCCACAAAGCTTCAGGTCGAGAACAAGCATTTAGCCACTGAACTCTGGATGAAGAGCAAGCATTTAGCAATTGAAATTTGGATGAAGAGCAAGCATTTAGCCACAGAGCTTCAGGTCGAGAGCAAGCATTTAGCCACTGAGCTTTGGATCGAGAGCAAGCATTTAGCCACCGAGCTTCAGGTCGAGAGTAAGCATTTAGCCACCGAGCTTCAGATTGAGAGCAAGCATTTAGCCACTGAACTCTGGATGAAGAGCAAGCATTTAGCAATTGAACTTTGGATGAAGAACAAGCATTTAGCCACAAAGCTTCAGGTCGAGAGCAAGCATTTAGCCACTGAGCTTTGGATCGAGAGCAAGCATTTAGCCACCGAGCTTCAGGTCGAGAGTAAGCATTTAGCCACCGAGCTTCAGGTCGAGAGCAAGCATTTAGCTCCAGAGCTTCAGGTCGAAAGCAAACATTTAGCCACAGAGTTTCAGGTCGAGATCAAGCATTTAGCCACTGAGCTTTGGATCGAGAGCAAGCATTTAGCCACAGAGCTTCATGTCGAGAACAAGCATTTAGCCACAGAGCTTTAGATCGAGAACAAGCATTTAGCCACAGAGCTTTGGATCGAGAGCAAGCATTTAGCCACTGAGCTTTAGATCGAGAGCAAGCATTTAGCTCCAGAGCTTTGGATCGAAAAAAAGCATTTAGCTCCAGAGCTTTAGATCGAGAGCAAGCATTTAGCTCCAGAGCTTTGGATCGAGAGCAAGCATTTAGCCACTGAGCTTTGGATCGAGAACAAGCATTTAGCTCCAGAGCTTTGGATCGAGAGCAAGCATTTAGCCACAGAGCTTTGGATCGAGAACAAGCATTTAGCTCCAGAGCTTTGGATCGAGAGCAAGCATTTAGCCACTGAGCTTTAGATCGAGAGCAAGCATTTAGCTCCAGAGCTTTAGATCGAGAGCAAGCATTTAGCTCCAGAGCTTTGGATCGAGAGCAAGCATTTAGCTCCAGAGCTTTAGATCGAGAGCAAGCATTTAGCTCCAGAGCTTTGGTTTGAGAGCAAGCATTTAGCCACTGAGCTTCAGGTCGAGAACAAACATTTAGCCACTGAGCTTCAGGTCGGGAGCAAGCATTTAGCCACTGAGCTTCAGGTCGGGAGCAAGCATTTAGCCACTGAGCTTTGCGTCAAGAGCAACAATTTAGCCACTGAACTATCGAGTCTTTCAAATAATCGTGGTCCACTGTAAAATGGACACGATGTGATCAATCTTCTCTTCATAGCAAACAATGAAAGGAAAACACAACAACTGTGGTCATGTTCAACAGATTTTGAATACATAAGCTAAATAGTTAAAAAAAAAAAAAAAAAAAAGGCGACAGTACAAAAGAAGTCAGAAAAAGACTCATTATAGCAAAGCAGAGACTAAACAGCTTACATAATCTATAGTACAGCACCTGCAAGCGAGCGAAAGTAACAATTCTGAGAATAATCATCTTTCCTGGCGTAGTTTATGGATGTGAGTCGCAGACTGTTACTCACTCACTGAAGGCAGAAAAAAATCGGAGCTTATGAAATGAACAGCTACAGAAACATTCATAAACTACCATAGACTAAGAAAAAGAAAAAACCCGACATCCTACATGATCTGAACATCGATGAAAACTGGCTGATCCACAGCATCCTGTTCCGAAAGCTAATGTATTTAAAAAAAAACTAAAAATTTTTATCAGCGGTTAATCTGTTGACTAAGAAATATTCAGTTCATTTCTTTTCACATTTACAAATTTAACGTAAGTCATTATCTAAATCACTTATCTTGACAACTGTCTAATTCAAAATCAGCGTTTGATTTCAGGATAAAACAGACTGGACAAACAAACGCTTTAAAAAAAAAAAAAAACTTAAAAATGTTTAGCAGCAAGCAGCTTGTGGAAGTTTCTTGTGTGAACTCATCTGCTCAAGACAAACATAAATTACCCAGGATCACTGTACAAACGAGAATACCTAGCATGTGCTGCTGAAAAGTGTACGTCTTGAGTTCATGAAATGAATATTTCAGCAATCATGTAGTCATCATCATCATAAACCACTTCTGCCATTAGGCGCCGTGGGGAGGAATAATTTGCGATCCAATGCACGATGGCTGCCACTTGCTATTGTCATGCCGTGAAGGCGTAGAGTGTCTTTAATGTTGTCGATCCATGTTTTCCGCGGCCGTCCTCTTGCTATTTTAGCTGACCTTCTGAGATGTAGTGCTTGTGATGGTATTTGATCTTGTTGCATTCTAAATGGATGGCCAAAGCACTTGATCTGCTGTTTCTCTATGAATCTAGTGCAAGGTGTCGTTCTCACAATTTGCCTGACAGTTTCATTATTCACTCGTTCTCGTATGGTTAGGTTGGCCGCTTTTCTCAGGCACCTCATCTCACAGGTTTTGCTTATATGGGCTTTAGATAGTGTCCATGTCTGACACTGGTAGCTTAATGTTGGAATGAATATGCTATTAATAATCTGTCTCTTTGTACTCATAGTTATGCTTGGATGTCTTAATAATGGTGACAATTGGTATATAAGTGCACTTGCTTTCTGACATCTGGTTTCTATTTCTCTGTCAATTCTACCATCTTCTGTGATCATACTTTCTAAATATTTTAACTCCCTAACTTGATTCAGAGCAGAACCATTCAGCTGTATGTGTAGTGGGGCAGGGGTTCTGCTAACGTGCATTGTTTCGGTTTTGTTTACATTGATCTTCATGTTGTATTTACTGCATCCTGAGTTCAACCTGTTAATGTGGTCTTACAGTCTAACTTCTTCAGAGTAGAACAAGCACTGGTCGTCAGCAAATACTAGTTCGTTTAATGTGGGTGAATCGATTATTTCTCCTGTTGTGTGTACTTCCCCATGATTATAAAGGTCAATGTTGTCTGTATCATAACTTGCTTCTTTAGATATTCTGTCTATATAGATGTTAAATAAAAGTGGGGAGAGCACACATCCCTGTCTCACATCTGTGTTGACTGTGAACATATCTGATATGCCTTCTTGTGCTTTTACTGCACTTTGGCTTGTGTGGTACATGGCTATGATGTTCTCTAGTAACTGTCCTTGTACCCCGTAGTTCTCAAGAACAAACCACTAGTTTGTTTCTACCCACTCTATCAAAAGCCTTTTCCTGATCTATAAACACAAAATTCTGTTTGGTATTATATTCAATGGCTTTCTCACACACTTGCCTCAGAGTGAATAATTCATCTATGCACCCTCTGCCTTAATGTAGTAATCATGTAGTAACAGATGCAAAAGCAAGCTGGTGCAAACAGAACCAAATTTGAACATCCCATATATAGTTATTTGCACATCGTTTACAGAACGGTGGAAATCGAACTTAGCATTGTTTACTGTTTGTGGTTTTTACTAGACAATGTTATGTTTGGTGGTTTGCCAAGCATTGTGGACTGTTTGTGGTTTTCACTAGACAATTTTACGTTTGGTGGTTTGCCATCGCTTTTTGAACGGTTTGAATTAGGCTCATTCTGTCGTCGAAATAAACATTTTTCGGTCTGCTGTCAGACCACTTGCAGCTGAATCAATGTGCTGAAATTATGAATTTGCGTTCATAAACCCTGAGACCAGGGAACATAGCAACAACTAACATTCATCTTTTGTCCTACTGCTTATGCCGTGAAGAGTCGCAGAGAGGAGCTAGACGTAGTTTTCTGTCTTTTGTCCTACTGCTTATGAAGAGTCGCGGAGAGGAGCTAGACGTAGTTTTCCGTCTTTTGTCCTATTGATTATCCTGTTATTCTTCTTCTTCACGTTCACCGGCTGTAAACTCCGGTGGAAAGTTTTGGTTGTTCGTCCACTTCTGGACTGCAGTCCTGTTCCAGAACCTGAGTGTTGCATGTGCATCCGTTTGACATATCTGACTCATTTGCCTGCAGATTGTTGGTTCCTTGCTTAGCAGACAGATGCCCTCGGACTTTGAAGGAAGCTCCCAAAAAAGTCGAC